GGAAAGAGGCAGTGGCTGGTGGCAAAAAATCTCAACCCACGCCCTTGAGGCGACCTTCGGTTCTCTAGTCCATGAGCTTGTTCTAATAAAAATCAAACGAGAGGCCAAAACAAGGGGAAATAGAGAGTTTGTCAAACACGGAGTGGGCCAAAGGACCTGGAGCCGATGATCCAGGAAGGAAATTGCCAAGGAGGGAAGAGATTTCTCTCCTGTTCAGGGCCCGCCCTGTCCAAGGTTCCAGGGCCTCCAGGGCCCCGAACTCCAGGCCCAGGTGGAGGCAGCAGGGTGTGAATGAGCGGCAAGGACACAGGTGTCTGTCCAGAGTGAGGGAAATCACCTTGTTGTTTTCTGAGTTCCTCTTAAAATAGAGTATTGGTCTTGGTCTTCAGTTTAAAAACAATAACTCCTCGCTGTAAACAACGTAAAAAGCACAGAAAAACAAATAAGAGCAGAAACTCACCTGCATACTTCACCCAGAAGAGCCACTGCTAATATTTTGATAGATCTCCTACTTTAATTGTAAACTGTAAGGAGCATAAAATAAATGAATAAAATATGATTTATTTTATAATCATAGAGTAATAATCATAGTGGTGATAGTTGTACAATGTTGGGACTGTATTAGGCGACCCAACTGTTCACTTTAACATGGTGAATTCTGTGTGATGTGAAGGTCCCATCATTAGCCTCCCAGGCCCAGAACATGGTCAGGACCTGGAGATCCCGAGTTGTCCACTTTTCCTTACAGTTTTACCTCCTCTGTGCGCGCCCCTAAGCCCCCCACTCCTCAGCTCCATCTGCATGTGAACGTCACACAGGTTGTTAGGCTGCGTCTTGGACACCCGCTCGCGCAGGGGAGGAACCCACCCTGCGCTGCGCTGGGCTGCGGGCCACGCTCGGCGAGTCGTCCCTCCGGGAGCGGGTCCGGCAGCACCGCCTGGAGCGCGGGGTGCCGGTCTCTCCAACGCCCTATGTGTGTGCCACGCCTTGTTTTCCTTCGCTTGGTTTTCGAAGATGGAGACAGCTTAAGTTTTTTTCCCTGATTATGAGAAGATATACAAAGACTCTTTTAAAATGAAACAGGAAATTAAACATAAAGTTTTCAGCACAGCCTGCAGATCCATGCTGGTTGTACGTGGTATGTGTCCTTCCAGACGTGACCTTGAATTTCATATCAGTGATACATAGATAGATAGGTGGATGATAAATGATAGATAGATGACAGACAGATGGAAGGAGAGTGTTCTTCTGCCCAGAGCGGCACCCCGGGCGCGCAGCACCCTGTGAACCTGCGGCTCCAACAGCACTCAGGCTGTCCGTCCCGGGTCCCACACAGGACACAGCCAGGGCCCCGGCTTCCATCCCTGTGCACAGCCCCCCCCCACTGACGTCAGGTTGGCCTCCCTCATGCAGATCAAAGGCCATGCTTGTCTAAGGCTTTGGAAGAAAGATACAGACCACCTTCCAGACCTTCCAGAAAGACAAGAATGTACCACCCCACCTCAAACACCTCTCAGACCTGGGAGGGCCCCCTGGGTCCTAAGGAAGGAGCAGCACAGGTGTGGACAGAGAGGAGCCTGGGAAACTGCTCTCCCACCTGTCCCACCCCAACCCCGGCTCTGCTCTGAGGCAGAGGCAGAGAGGGGCTCCAAAGCCCCTCCCCAGCTCCTCAGAGTTCCTCCCACCAGTGACCTGAACCAGGCCCAAATCTCCTTCCACAAGGAGGCCTTGGACCCCCCACACCACAGCTGCTGTGTCTGCCTGGCAGCACTGAGCCCCCGCGGGGGGAGAGGGCTCAGCGCTGTGAACGAGTCCTCCCGCTGTTCTGGGGGCTGCGAGGGTGCGAGTGCTGGGAGCGAGGGGCTCGGAACGTGGCCCAGGGTCAGCAGGCTGTGCCGGGGGCCTGTGGGGTCTGCCGTGTGGGCTGTGGGAGGGCACGAGGGGCCTGGTGGTGGTTCCCACAGTTAGGGCCTGGGGAGGGGATTTGTCCCCTCTGTCCCAGATAACACATGGCCTCTCAGGTTCTGGGGACAGAGACCCCAGTCTGACCTTCCAGCACAGCTGCCCCTGACATGGGGGTTGGACAGGAGACCTCCAGCCCCAGCACCTCCAATAGCAGAGCCTGGTGCCCCCACCCCCGAGCCTGGTCTCAGAGCCTGGGAGTCAGGCCCGTCAGGGGTCCCGGCTCCCCCGGAAGCCGGAGGAAGGCTTGGGGATCACTGGGGAACCGGGAGGGACAATCCACTCAACTTACACAGGAGAAACCAAGTCCCACAGGCAGCTAAGGACCCAGGACTCAGGGCCTATTGCTCCCCCACACGGCACCAACATGCCCTTGACCCTAAGGGGACCTCCCTCTCAGCATTTGAGCCCTGTGACCTGCATCCTAAGGCTTAGAATTGGCCACTTTGAGCTGAGGAGCCCCCCTGGTCCATAGTCAAGGCCGAAGAGCTGGCTGCCCTTCTCCAGGCCCCCATGTAGGCCCGGGGCCTGCCTTCCTCTGGGCCTGCAGACCTGCAGCACACACTCGAGACTGAACGTCAGCCTCCCGGTCTCTCAGCTGCCCACCTCACACCCTAACCAAGGAGACCCGGGGTCAGGGGCGGCACCCGGCTGGAGCAGGCGGCCCCTGTGTGACCTCCCTGTGACAGGGTCTAGTCCCACCCTGAGCAAACAGAACGTGAGGGGACATGGAAATGGGGTCCTAGTTGTCAGGAACACAATATACCATGTCTGAGAGGACAAGCTGTCTCCTCCTGCCACCCCTCCTTCCAGGTCCCCACTGCCCCCTACTCCACAGTCACCCACAAAGCCAGGTCCCTTCTGCCAACCAGGCCCCACCACAGGCTCTCCCCAGGCCCAAGGGGCTCAAGTGCACCCTGAGGGGAGGAGCTCGGGCCTGTCAGGAGCTGACCCAGGGAGCAGAACTGCCAGGTGGTGAGGACCCCAGCCCGGCGGGCACTGCACACCTTGCAGGGGTGACACCTGCACAGAAATGTCACCTCCTTCACCTGACTGTCCTCCGTGGGCCACAGAGAGGTGTCCCATCTGCACTTCTGGTCAACACACCCCAAGCGTCCCTGTGCAGTGCCCCCTCACTCAGGTTCACTGGCACACGTTCACATACGCACACACACACAACTCCCACACCTTCACACACACAGTGGCACACCCAGGCTGAAAGTGCCCTCTAGTGGCACCTGTTGTTATTTCTCTAAAAGATCACTCCTCTCAGTAATAACCCAGGAGTGTTCATCACAAATCCCTGCTGCACGAGTCTGGGAAGAACGTTCTCTTCTTTCACCGGGAGGCATGTGACCTGGCCAAGGTCACGCAGGAGGTAGGCAGTCAAGCCCTGGCCCCCCCGACTTCTAAACCAGTGCTATCGTCCCTTCTCACTTGGCCTGGGCACTCAAGTTCCAGCTCCCCTGGAAATCAGGACCTGCCAAGAGCACAAGGGCTGGACCCTCTCCCAGGGGAGGGGCTATAGCAGAGGGGCTGATGGGGGTCTTGAACCCCCACCTTTCACATACACGGGGTGCACAGTCCCCACGGAGGGAAGGCGGGACCCTGGGAGAGAGGAATTTCCAGACCAGAGAGTCCCTGAGGTGGGGCTGCTCCATGCTGGATGGGAGGGTGTCAGCAGGGAAGGAGGTCAGGCTTTACAGAAACACAAAAATGCCCAAAACATTGATATATAAACGCAGAAGCAACAAATGTTGACTGGGGGTCAACTAGCTCAGGTGTTTTTATGAGAGAAAGTGACTCCCCTTGTCCCCTGTCCCCACCCTGCATCGCACCCCCCAACCCCATCTCATGAGCTCCCTCCTTCCCCAGAAAAAAAAAAGCAAGCACTTTTCATTCCACAGCTACTGCACAGCTGCAAAGCCTGGTGCTGCTCTAGGTCCTGGGAAAACAGCAGTGGCCTCTAAGACCAAATCCTGGAGAAAAGTTCCAGTAGGTGACACAGGGCCTGGGAACAAACAAGACATTATGCTGTAATAGGAGGGAGAGGGGGACACCGTTGGTTTAGGTGGGTGCTCAGGAGAGGCCACCTCAGAATGACACGAGGGGACTAGCCAGGAAGGTGCCTGGGAGGGAGTGCTCCCGGCAGCAGGAGCAGCAAGTGCAAAGGCTCCGGGGCAGATTGTGCCTGACAAATGACGAGCAGTGAGGTCAAAGTGGCCAGATCCAAGGAAGTGGGGGGAAGGCAGGAGAGGAAGCCAGCAGGCCCCTGGAGCCTTGAAGGTCATGCTGAGCACCTTGCATTTTGTTCCAAGTCTTCAAGTAGGACCTGAAGGACATCATGCCAACAACCGTGCCCCTTCTAACTTCCTACAAATGTGTCTCCAGGGCTAGGGTCCAACCACATCAAATACAGAGAACTAGGCGGCTGTGTGAGAGTAGACAGCACAGCACTGGCCTGTCCCCAGGGGTGGACGCTGGGGCAGTTCTGGTTCTTCTCTCACACACGTGACCCAGGGGACCCCCCGCACATCCTCCGCGCAAACACCAGCACTTCCAGGAGTGCACAAACCCGACCTGGAACTGGGGGACACAGGGCTCCATGTTAGGGTCACCTGTGAGCTGCAGCCCACTCTCTGGAGCAGCAGGATCAATATACAGCCGAGCAACAGGCCACCATCCCATTCTCCAAGTCAGCCCTTCCTGGGGTTGTTGATGCTGAGAACTTGGGATCCCCATTAGAGGCATCATCCACTTGTGGCATTAAATAAGAACTCAGGTAAAGCGCACAGGCGTCACTCGGCAGTCACTAAGTCCTGCCGTCCTGGTCCCCACGCTGTCCCTGTCTCATGTGACCCTGGACTCTGAGACTCAGTATCCTGTGGCGTCACTCAGAGGTCCCTGAGCCCCTCCTGCCTTCCCATTCCCCACTCCTCTGATCTGCGAGCCTTCAAGCTTCTCCCGGCGCTTCTGGCGAGAGGACAGCGACCCCTGGCGGCCGAGTGAAGCAGTCCCAGAGCGTGACTGCCCAGGATTAGAGGAGGACCAGACCCAGCGGGGCGGATCCCCAGAGTCCCTCCCCAGGGCCCACACTCTGGGAAGAAGCTGGTCCTAGGGTGTGCCAATAGCAGGGACAGCTCCAGGTCACCTCTCAGTTGGGGACAGGGTGACCCAGCTTCTGGGTCCTCAAGGACAGAGAGGGAGAATTCTGAGTGGTCATGGGAGAGAACCAAGACCTTCTAGCCATGACCTGGAAGCTGCCCGGATGGCCGAAGGAAGGAGGAAAGCGCTCTTCTCAGCCCAGTGGACCTGAGCTTCTCTTGATTAGAATCAGCTCCTTGGCTTCTACCTCCCTGGAAAGAGGTACAGGAATTTTGCACCTTTAACCGGTTCCCGGGGGAATTTACCTGTCAATTTGGGGAAAACTGACAGCTTCACCACATTGACTCTCTCAATTCGTGCCTATCCTTTCTCCCACTAAGAGGTTTTAATAATAGACTTTAATCTATTTAAAACAGCTTCCCATAAACAGCTTCCCCTCGGATAGCTCTCTAGATTAATTTCCAGTTAACTCACATTTTCGGTGTAACTCTAAACTGTACACTTCTTAAAGGTTTTCTATTCACTTGCTGACGTATAGAGATACAGTAAGTTTCTATACTGAAACTGGATCTGGTACATTTGCTCCATTTTTTAATAGATTCCATTCATTTATCTGCACATCCGGTAGGTCAGGTGTCTGTGCATCCCTACTTACCTAAGTGTGTCACCTGTGAATAAAGACAATTTTGTTGCCATCTTCCCCTAATTGGACCCACACGTTTCATCTCTTTCCCTTACTCTGGGCCTCTGGCATCAGGAGCAATGGCAGGTAGGATAACAGGCATTCTTGTCTTCTCACACAGAGATGTTTTCCATCATTTTATTTCGAAACACGATGCCTGCAATAATTTCCTTTAAAGTTTCTCTTAGCAGATTAAGGATGTTCCCCTATGTTCCTTATATGATAAGTGGGTTTGTAAGACATCATTTGTTGGGTTTTATTCACTGATTTTTCTGCATCTTTTGATGTGATTTCTCTCTCTTCATGATTCAAATTAGTGCATAGAGTTTCCTAATGTTGAGCTGATCTTCCCTCCCTGGAATGCGTGAACCAGGCTTGCCCATGATGCTGTTCTGCACTATTGCTGAATTCAGTGTGATAATATTTTGCTCAGAATGTTTGCATCTCTATTCCTGAATGATATAGTGCTGTTTTTCTCTTTCCACTGCCCTTGTCAGATTTGCAGTCGAAGCTGTGTTCACTTTATAAAATGAGACATTGTTTATTCTCTAAAAGAACTGCTTTCATCTCTAGAGACATTTGTATGAGGTTGGAATTGCTCACCAGTGAAGCCCTCTGAGCTGGTTTTCTTTGTAGGAAGATTTTTGACTTCTGATTCAATGCCTTTAGGAGAATCTAGATTTTCAAGTTCTCCTTGAGTCAAATATACATGTTCAATCAAGTTTTTCTAGGAATGTCCTCATTTCATCTCCAATTATTGGCATAAGGCTATTATAATAGACTCTGGTTATCCATTTGAGGTATTCCACGTCTGCAAAACTGTCCCCCCTTTCCTTTCTGATGCGAGTAATTTTTGCCTTCTTTCTTTGATTCTTGGTAAATTCGCCAAATCGTTCCAATTTCAGTTGTATTGTAAGGGAACCAACTCTCTGCTTTCTTGTTTTGTCATCTCCACTATTCATTATCTGTTTTTTTCTTTTTTGTGTTTGTTCTTCTCTTTCTGATTTCCTTTATTCTATTTTCTGAGATTACTTTGTTGTTTTCTAGCTCTCCGAGATATATACTTAGCTCATTAATTTCTGGCTCTTTGATTCTCTATAAAATTTCTAAACACATTTTAAGGTTATCAGTTTCCCTCTATGTGCCACATTAGCTGCATGCCACAAGGATTTTATGTAGTGATTTCATCATTGTTTGGTTCAAAATGTTATCTGATTTCTAAAATGTTATTTACTTCCCTAAGCTGTTGGGAGCATATTTCTTTATTCCCAGACATGTGAAGCTGTCTAGTATCTCTGCTATTGATTTCTATTTTATCATTGATTTCTACTGTTTTGCATATAGAATATATGCTGAATGATTTCAGTCATTGCTTAGGCTTGTTTTATGGCCCAGGGTATGATCAATTTTTGTCAATGTCTTTTTCTACTTTGAGGGGATATACATACTGTAACTCTAGGTGTATGTTCTAGATATAAGTCCATTGGGTCAAGTCATTTAAGTTTTCCAATCTGTTATTATCTTCTTCAAGTTATTTCAGGTAATGCTTCTTGGCCATAAAGCTTTTAAATCTGATCTCAGCATAACCACACCAGGTTTCTCTGGGGTAGGAATTTGTATCTTTGTCCATCCATTTACTTTTAACTCAACTGAATGACCTGACCCCCATTCCTGAAAAGAGTGCTCTGCTCCAAATGGCACTCTCTGTGCATTATGTATTTGTGAAGTGTGTACCAAGCATCCCATTGTGCAAAGTCATTTGCCCCTTGCATTTTCCATAGCTTGCTTGCTTTGATATGATGGAAACTCATGGCCTTTCCTCTCTGGTCTTTAAGGCTGGGGCAGAATTACCAGGCACCTCTCCATCCTTTCAGAGCATGCGTGCAGACCCATGCTTAGTGTTTTCAGTGATCCTGTGGAGCACACCAAAAATCAAAATAGCCTCAAACAAGGAAGGAATTATGGGCCCACCTAATTGGGCATCTAGACATGGAGCACTCAGGGCCACCTCAATGCAAGAGACCCTGGCCCTGCTTCTCCCTGCCATGCTCTGGTCCCCACATGGGCTGGCTTCCCTTATGGAGGCCTCATCCCTGCACCTGACACCAAGAAGGAGGTAGTGAGCCTGGTTTCCTGAGGGGTCTGCTAGTACCACCTGAAAGTGGTCATCTGCAGAGCTGCAGACCACTCAGGCAGAACAGCAGTGAAGGAAGGACAACTCTCCCAGGGACAGAAGACTGGAGAGACCATTTCCTATCTGTTCAGTCTGCACTGAGCAATAGCAAGAAATTTGTATCCACAGTGATTCATAATAATCACCAGTGGTTTGGATAGATAGTCAGTGTTATGGGCTAAATGTTTGTGTCCCCCCCCCCCAAATCCATATGTTGAAGCTGTCACCACCAATGTGGTGGTGTTTGGAGATGGGGTCTTTGGAAGGCACTTAGTTTTAGATAAGGTCAGGAGGGGACCCAGGTGGTGGGACTAATATCCACATGAGAAAAGGAAGAGAGGGAAATCAGTCAGTATCTCCATCTCTATCTCAGTCTATCTCCATGCACAGAGAAGGGCCAGGTGAGCACTCAGTGAGAAGGCAGCCGACTGCAAGCCAGGAAGCTCTCATCGAGACCCAAATCTGCCAACACCCTGACCCCAGGCTCCAGAACTGAGGTAAATAAATGTCTGCAGTTTAATCCACCTAACCTACCGTGTTTCGTTATGGCAGCTCAAGGTCTCAGAAGGATCAGTAGTTGGCATCTGAAAATATATGACACAGACAGTCGAAAGAAGTACAGGATGGGTCTCTTGGAATGGACACTGTGTGAAGATACTCATATCCCACATCACTGAACAGCATTTGAATACTCTCTGCAAAAGAGGTCTCAATAATCAAGTGGACAAAATGACACACTGCACAATGTCAGTCGACCTCGTTCCTAGCCATGCCAGTGTTTGCCCAATGGGCACATGAACGAAGGGACTGTGGTTGCAGGCATGGGGATTGGGCATGAGCTGGTGGACATGATCCTCCTCTTACCAAGGCTGAGCTGGATGCTGCTGCCACCTAGTGGCTAATCTGCCAACAGCAGAGAACAAGAGGGAGCCCCAGCACCATTCCTTGGGGGACCAGCTAGCCACCTAGTGGCAGGTTGATTCCATTGCACCTCTTCCATCAGAAGGGGTACAAATTCTGGATACAGATTTGTTTTCGCTGCTATAATGCTTCTTCCCTCACCAACATCCCCAGACTCTTGGGATGTCTTAGCCACCATCATGGTATTCCCCACAGCACTGCATCTAATCGAGGAACTTATTCTACGGCCAAAGAAGTGCAACATGGATTAACTGGTCTTAGCATACACATCATTGCCCAGAAGCAACTGACCTAGTTAAAAGCAGAGTGGCTTACTGAAGACTCTGTTATGGCACAAGTTGAGAGATGAAACCCTGAAATAGAAATGTAGTTCTGCCTTGCAGGATGCAATTTATGCTTTGAATCAAAGATCATGAAATGGTACAATCTCTCCCAGAGACATAATACTTGAGTCTGGAAATCAGGAGATAGAAGTAGGAATTGCTTCTTTCATAGTTAGTCCTCATAATTCACTCAAAGAATGCTTGCTTTCGTCCTGGCAGCTTTGAGATCTTCCACTTTGGAGATCTTCATTCCAAAAAAGATAATGCTTCCAGCAGGGGGCGCTGCAGTGGTGCCACTGAGTTGAAACCAACAGGCAGAAAAAGAGGCTGCTCTTCTGGTGGGACTGATTGATCCTGAATACTAAGGGGAAATTGGGCAGCAGCTACACCAGGGACAAGAGGACTTTGTCCAGAACCTAGGACACTAAGCATCTTAGGACTTCTTAGCACTCAGAGCCTTAAAGAACAAAGGCTTAGGTCCACCACCAGGTAAAGAGACCCGAGACCAGCTGAGGTTCTAGCTGAGGACAAGAGAAATATTGAATCGATAGAGGAAGAAAGATGTCATGGACATTAACTATGACCTCATGACTAGGGTTACCACATTTAGCAAATAGAAATACAAATGGCCATTTAAACATGAATATCAGATAAACAACAAGTAATTTTTTAGTATAATTACGTCACATAAAATATTTGGGACATATTTATACTTTAAAAAAAAACATTCATTGCTTGAGTTCCCTGTATTTTATCTCAACCCTATTCATGACCAATACACAAAGGAGAACTGCAGTAACTTTTCATCTTTTTTCTTTCCTTGTTATATGTATATATGTATTTGTATCTATTACCCACGATCTCTTTTCTTCTCAGTATTACTTTGTATATAAGTTGTTGGTGGTTAACAGAATATTTGGTGCAACTGTGACTGAATTTGAGGAGAAATCAATATGGTTAGCTGTGTTCACAATGACTCGTGAGAACATGTCTCCTCATTTGAGGGAGAGGATGAGATTTTTGTAGAAAGGATTGCAGTTTCTTAGATAAAAAGTTTTGCCGGCTGGTGCACTGCTAGGCTTTGCCAATAGAGGGTGCTAGAGGGACACTGCAAGGCAACGGCAGCAAGAAGGCACCTTGCTCATTTTCCAGCTTTCCAACACAACACACAGTAGGGTGGGTTCTTTTCCAGTTTTGCCACAAGTTCAATACACTACTCAAGCCTCAGTTTCCCAGTCAGTGTCACTGAACGGTCACTATGTCCAATGGTGTGCTGGTAAATGTTGAACAACCAACCTGGAAGCTGGTGGGGGGAGCCTTCACTTGTAGCATTTGCCATTTTCATGCCCATGATGTCAATCTTCCCACCGAGGCCAATTTAAAGCTACGAAGGTGCATGACTGAACACAGAGTCAAGAAGGGACAAGTTCAGGATCAGCTCTTCTGTGAGCTGATGCAGCCGGCTGCACACACCACACACTGCTTGCAGCTGCCCAGTTCCTCACCTTCCTGTGCTGCTGTATGGGTAGACAGCGTCATCTAGTGGCAAAGCTGAGCAACTCTCAGTCCACCTGGAGAAGCACCTACAACGTGGGGAAAAAAGTACAAAACCCACACCCTTCGACCCCCACCTCCCCAAGGTTTCTCTCCTCTCTCTTGTTCAGTCCCAGCGTTCATCATCTCCAAGAAAGACTTAAAGCCTGAGGAGACTCCCACAAAGGAGCCCCTGCTGGTCACCCCCCATGTTGGGGAGGGGGTAGGGCTGTTCCTGGGATAGAGGAGAAAGTGACCTTGTAAGGCAGTAAATAGCCACTTCCTGAACAGGCCACCCCTGCAGACCTCCAGCCTATCCCCGAAAGAATTACCAGAACAGTGCCTCAGTCTGAGGCAGTGACACAGCACCCCTAGACAGGGGTCGGTCGGCCAGCATACCCAGAAACACCTGTTCCTGACGAGTGTTTCTCCTGGGACCTGGAGTCTGGCCCGAACCCCTGGGCTTTTCTTTGATCCAAGACTTTCCTCTGATTTTACGTATAATCCTTGCCCCCCAGATCTCAGAGCCCTGTATCCCCACCTATGGTAGGGTGAGTGGAGAGGTGAGGGCAGCCCCTGTAACAGCAAAGTCACGACACTTAGCCCCTGGCTTCCCAAGTCCCCAGCAGATTGCTGACCACCATAGTTTTATATTTACATCTCTTCCATTGTGTGTTCCTCCAGAAAGCATCTGCTTAGCCCGGCACTCCATTTTCCAGATCCCTGTAAGGGTAACAGGGGGGAAAGATCATTAATCAAACATAGATCCCATCTGCCACTTGCACAGACCAGCTCCTGCTGTATACTCAAGCAGCTGTCTCCCTGCCCTGGGAGCTGCTCCTGCAGACCTCGCCAGCCCCCCACCCCCGCCTGCAGTGCAGGCCGCTGCTACGGACCAGCTCTGGCCCATGCCCCATACAGATGCACTTCTTTGCCCGACAGGCTGTCTAAAGAGCTCTGGGGCAGGGTGAGTGAGAAAGATCATTCATTCAAACATCGATCTTCTGGTACAGGTAGAAACCAACTTCCATTCACTGAAGGGAGAAATCTACGTAGTAGACAAGGCTGGTCATTTTGGGGTGGTCTTTAATGAGGACTGGTGGGAAGCTGTCCAATACTTTGCATCTGCTGCTCTCAAAGTTTCCAGGCTCACCCCTCCGCTTCGTTCCATGGCCTCTGGGCTCTAACGGGTGAGGCCCCCAGCACTGATCCTGCAGAGGGCAGCTGGCCACCTGCCACAGGGAGCAGAACACCAGTGTGGTGGCCGCACCACCCAACCGTGGGTCCTCCCGATCCAAACTGGGGTTAACCCAGAGGGACTAGATGAGCCATGAGGACACAGTCAGCTTTCTTTGAGGTGGCCATTGTGGGGAGGGGCAAGAACTGGACGGAGATGCTCTGCCACTCCCCAAGGGGTCACGTGGTGGGCAAGGTCCTCGAAGACTGTTGAGGTCTAATCCCAGCACAGCGATGTTAGAGGAGCCTGCCCGGCAGTGCACGGGAGAACCAAGAACATCTGAGGGACCGAGAGGCTGCAATGGCACAAGATCAAACACACACACTCTTTCAAACACTGTGGGCCTCACTCTAGTGACGAGGGGTGAGCCACTCATGTAGGCAAGAGCAGGCACGGGCTGCGCTGCCTGGTAACCAATTTTCCTTTGCCTCTGCCCCTTCCCAAGGCTTCACGTGGAAAGAGTGAGGTTGTACACACAGCTCTCCCTCTTCAAAAAGTGTTCTGTCCCCCCTGTTTCCTGGATGGAGGAAGTCAGCCTGTCAGCTTTCCACGTTCTTAACAAAGTCTTAGGGAGCGAACAAAACTTCCGGCTTCAGGGACGGCCTCAGACAGGATGGCCCCCATGTCATGTTTTCTCAAAATGGATCAGCCCGTCTGTTTTAGGGCTTTTCATAGGGGATGTCTCGTGGAAGGTGGGACCGGTGGCAGCCTACAGGAATTAAATCCAACATTCCAAGACAAGCCACTGCCAAGGAGGTTGGGTTCTGGTTTTTCTGAATGATCCTTCCCAGGAAAGGTAAGGAGCTGGTCTCTGGGCAGCAGCCAGTCAAGCCAAGTGGCGCACAGGACATGGCTCACAAGCACAAGGTCATGGCTTCTGACTTGTCACACGGACAATAGGCCTCTCAGCCTTGGGTCACAGATTCGGGCAGCAATCCCTGAAAACCAAGGGGAGGCTGGGTGGTGGTGTAACAGGGTGCGGCCAAGAGGGGGCCCCCAAATGGGGATTTGGAATGGGGTCCAGAACTCAAGGTGTCCAGGAAATATTAGAAAACAATATATATAGGATGTCCTCACCCCCACAAGTCTGAGCTGGAGGATGGGACACATGGAGCAGGGCCATTGAGAGCTGTTTTGTACAACAGCTTTGCAGCTAACCTCTGGCATGGTCTTTAATATACCTATAACCTTTAACTGATTTCCTGGATATGTTAAATCGCTGTGGCCATGCTTTGAGCCAGGGGGATGGGAGTGACTTCCACCTAAGATGTAACTGGGGGGAAGCTCTCCCTGGTTACAGAGCCTGTGTGAGAGCCTGGAGATGATTGGCTCCAGGACATGGGGCCACACCTGCCCAGACTCACTGTGGCAGCCCAGTAAAGCTGGAAGAATACGAGAATGCTGGCAGGTGTAACCAAGTGTAGGAGGAGTAGGAAATGGGGATGCAAAGGAAGATTGGTGCTGAGATTTAAACCCAGACGTGGCAGCCATTGGAAAGAGAACCACTCGGCTTTGGTAGAGTGGGGACCCTGCAGCTTTGGCGAGAGTGAGGACCACGTGGCTTTGGGGTGCTCCCCTTTGCCATGTGGCTTAGGAAGCAGGAGAGACTTTGCCTGGAAGAAAAGGGGTGAAAGGACTCTTGCTGGTGGGCCATGAGAAAGTGCCACATGGCTTTGGATTAACTGGAGATCCTAGCAGTGACACAGCTGATGGTGCCAGGAGCCTGAATCATGGACTTCTGCTTCTTTTCCTGAGATACGGTACTCCAGATTAAAGCAGAGGCAGAAGGAATGACTGTGTGCATCTGTGAGTACCCTAAAAGACTTTAATATTTTAATGAAGACATTGAGTCACTACTTTAAGTCTGTATAGCTTTAAATAAACCTTTCCTTTCCTTTTCACAAATCTCTGGCATTGAGAAACGTCTTTCCTCTGGTGGCGGACAAGCAAACCTAGTGGGGGATCCATTCAGTAATAGTATATTATAATCCCCCTCGGCTCTGTTCTGTAACAGTGGGATGTCTGCAATTAGATCAGCCCCAGTGGACGCCCTCTCCGCTGGGAGGAAATTGGCATGAAATCATTAAATACAGTGAGATGGAGTGAAAGGATCTGAGATGGGGAGAACCCAACAAAGAAGCAAGAAGGGTGTCTTATGTCTTTAAAGGTGAAGGTATTTCCTAAAAATTACATGCCAGCCTTTCTTCTCAACCCTTTCACAGCTGGCCAGAAAATCTGGAGGAAGATTATACTGTGATGCCTCCCTCATAGCCTTTGCAATCACCACAAAAATCTTCTGAGATAGATGCATGAGCCCCAAACCATGAGAGTAACTATGGGCGCTGACCTGGGAGGAATCCTGAATAGAGCTCTTGGGGGCGGGGGAGTGGAATTGCCTTCAGTGTCCTCCCAGGGAGCCCAAACCTGGCCCCTGCCAGGTGAAATGCCAGCCGACAGCCTGTGGACATGAATACGGGGTAATTACTCCGGCCCCTCAACTAACAAGCCCCCATATCTGCTCCCTTGTCAAAGGGGAACATACTCACGGTGTCAAACATCACTTCATCGCAAATAAAATATGGTCAATCACAATCAACCAGGCTACTATGTTTCACCACTGGAGGGAGCCAGAGACCACTAAATCTAATCCAGGCTCAAGGTGATGTACAGAAAAGTTGCCACCAGGTGGCGGGATTGCCAGGAGAGGACTAACCTGCAAACAGCTGGTTTCCTCGTCCCCTGGGTTCTGTGACGGGATGCAGAGGATGAATCCAATCTTTCTGGGCTAGCTAGGTTATGAGTGTTCTGTATCCCCAAAGGACTCAGAAAATTAAAATTCAAAATAGCAAGAGCTTTATTTAAGAAGTTAATGTGTGGCCAGCCAAAAAAATTTTTTTGTTTTAATTAAAAAAGAAAGTAGGAATCACTGGGATGTCTATTCTCAAGTCTTCCTGCAGTGGGAGTTAATGTAAGCATCCAGCTGGGCATCCACACCCACCAGCTAAGGAGACGTAGCGTTCCACGTCCGGGGAGTCGACGCGATGGGCTCCATCCACTCCCCAGCAAAACGGGGGAAAATGATGTCTTAATATATGTGTTTCTATACTCATACTTATGTATTTTTCTAATATACAGAAATATGTTTATAATATATAAAGACATTATTAGAACTTTATATATTATTTTAAACTGTATATAGCACATATATTTTAAGAAATATATAGGCTTTATCTATAAACATGTAAAGTCCTATATATCTAGTCACTATGTGATTAAATATAAAGACTTTTTAAAATTATTTAAATCTCTTTAAAGGATAATGTAATAACGTATGGCAACGAAATCACAGAGGCTGAGAGGGGAGAAATGAAAGCGTACTATTGGGAAGTTCTTTGCGTGAAGTGAAATGGTATCATTCGAAGGTAGATGGGATTAAGTTAAAGGTGGATACTATGAGCCCTGAAGCAACCGCTGAAATGACACAACAACGTCACAGCTAATAAGCCAACAAAGGAAATTAAGTGAAGTTGTGAAGGTTCACACAGCCATCACCAATTAATACAAAAGAACAACAAAAAAAGAACATATGGGAGACGTAGAAATTAAATAGTATAGCTCAGTGGATTGAGCACAGGCCTGCGAACCAGAGGATCAGGGTTCGATTCCCAGTCAGGGCACATGCCTGGGTTGCAGGCCAGTTCCCTGCAGGGGATGCCGAGAAGCAACCATACATTGATGTTTCTCTCCCTCTCTCCTTCCCTTCCCTTCTAAAGATAATTTTTTTTTAGATTTTATTTATTAATCTTTAGAGGGGAAGGAGGGGGGGGAGAAACATAAAGGTATGGCTGCCTCTAGTGTGTCCCCTGCTGGGAACTGGCCTGCAGGGAACTGGCCTGCAACCCAGGCATGTGCCCTGACTGGGAATTGAACCGCAGTCCTTTGGTTCACAGGCCCACGCTCAGTCCACTGAGCTACACCAGCCAGGGCTAAAGATAATTTTTTTTTAAGTTTGTATAACTTTAAAAAAAAAAGAAATTAAATAGCGTGATGGCATATTTAGACACTACCACATCAATGCTTCAAATAGAGATTATCTGATTAAATAAACACTCAAGACCCAACTATTCCCTGGCGATCATAAATATACTTTAAATATAAATATATGGAAAACAATATGGGGATTCCTCAAAAAAAATAAAAACAACACTGGCTGGTGTAGCTCAGTGGATTGAGCGCCGGCCTGTGAACCAAAGGATTGTGGTTCAATTCCCAGTCAGGGCACATGCCTGCGTTGTGGGTCAGTTCCCAGCAGGGGATGCACGAGAGGCAACCACACATTGATATTTCTCTCCCTCTCTCCTTCCTTTCCCCCTCTGAAGATAAATAAGTGAAAATTTTTTTAAAAATTAAAAATAAGTAGAAATAAAAACAAAATTGCCATACAACCCAGAAATCCCACTTCTGGGCATTTATCCAAAGAAAACAAAACACTACTTCAAAACAATATACCCACCTCTACATTCATTGGGACATTACTCACAATAGGCAAGATATGGAAGCAACCTAAGTGCCCATCGATAGACAGTTAGATAAAGATGCGGTGTGTACATATAGTGGGATGTTACTCTGCCGTGAAAAAGACTGAAATCTTGCCATTTGTGACAACAGGGATGGACCTGGAGGCTATTGCGCTAAATGACGTGAGTCAGACAAAGACAAATACCATATGATTTCACTTATATGTGGAATCTTTAAAATTTTTAGAAAAGCAGAAACAGATCCATAGATACAGATAACAGGCTGATGATTGCCACAGGGGTGTGGGGAGATGGGTGAAATTAAAGAAAGTGGGGAAAAGGAAAGAAGTAAGGGAGGGAGGGGGGAGGGAGGGAGGGAGGAAAACAGATTGCAGAGCACAGGGCATTGCTAGGTAAAAAGGGGCCACTTCGCAACTACAAAGGGTCACTGTCTAACGGACACAGTGCCCATACACCCTGCTCCGTATGGTAGAGCTGCTTGTTGGGTGTGTAAACTGTAAAACTCATTAAAGATAACTTAGTGAATAATATAAAGAGAAATTTTCAACAACTACAGAGTGAATTTGATTTTTACAAAGTTGCTCTCCGTGATAAAAAAAAAATTACAAATTTAGTTGCCTGAAACCAGAAATAAATGTCAAAAAATTGTAATTACTTTAAACAGAATTTGAGTTTGTACTTCAGCCAGCTCTAAAACAGCTTGGATTCTTGTACCAAAAAGAAAAACAATTTAGATGGAAAAATGACAAAAGGAAGTATTCCCGTTATGGAAATTTGTTAGAAAATTATGATAAAATGCTACAAAAAAAGATATTTTACAAAAAAACAAAATTTTTTCAATTGTCTCAAGATGATTGCCCATACAATGCAGGCCCTTCCTAATAATATCGAAAGTAGATAGACTCAACATTGGAAAGTTTTCAAGTACCTTTCATAGGTGACATGAAATAGGTCCCGATTAATCATTTTGAAACATTTTGTCTCAAAGAACACCCAAACCTATGAATAAATGTTGCCAATTCATGACCTAAAAGATCAAACTTTTGGCATACATATTTTTAACCTTCTTTATATTGATCAAAGATTTTCGGGTGAATATGGAAAAATATCAATAGTTTTTATCATGGCAAATAGGGCTCCAACTATGTTGGGTCAGAACACCAGGTTGAATGGAATTTTAAAACAGGAGACTCATGTTTCCCTATTGCTTTGTCCCACCCGGTGAGACATATTCAGATATTTGTGCCTAGTTTTTATGGCAGACTTGACGAAGAGCATCATGGATAGACACAGTTGTTGGAACCGGTGTGTGTACGTGTGCAGAGATGGACCACTGCTCTAGGAAACCGTTGAAAATGTAGAAGGTGGTGAATTCGATGATGTGCTTTTGCCGATGGTCACTGGTTGACTATTGGAAATTTTATAAAGAATTACTGTGATGTCAGTTACAATTTACGTGTTTTACGGTTTTCCTGAAGCAGAAGGAATGCTTGTCGAATATTCATTGATCAAAGGCAATAGATGGCATTCGGCCTTACTTACATTTCTCACGAATATATGGTGTACACAGATGAGCTAAATTTAAAGTTAAAGGAGGGAAAGGCCTATTTGTAATCCAGCCAAGTGTAGGAATTTATGTTCAAATGGAGACTTCATAATACAAGTCAACAACAATGATTGTACATGTTCTCCAAACATGAGTCAACATGTCAGAGATTTTCATTGTTACTGGCTGTGCTGTGTAATTTGGAGGCCAAAACTCCCAGAAAGGCCCAAAGAGCTTTTGCGAGATTGACCAATTTAGAAACGCATTTCAAAATTGTAATGTCTCTTTGAAGTCAATGTTAACGATACTGAGTGGACCACAAGGGCTAGGGGACGACTTAACTTGGACAGACAGAATTTTGAAACTAATACGCTTTTGCTTCAAAGTCAAATCAATTCTTCTAAAAAGATGAACCAGTTTTGTTATTGACTTAAAGGAAAATAAAATGTTGATAACATAGTTAGCTACTGGAAAATTTTTAAGTATGTTTAAAACAACTTGGTTTGTGAATCTACATTTTGAATTGTACGTTTTATTAAATTTAAGGACACATCAAGTATTTCTGGTAAGAAGTCAGCATGAGACTTGCGATGTGTAAAATACACATCAGATTTCAAAGATTTACTGAGGGAAAAAAGAATATGAAATATCTTGACAGTTTTTACACTGATTACATACTGAATGATAATATTTTGGAGATATTAGTTAAATAAAATACATTACTTAAATTAATTTTACCCATTTCCTTTACTTTCTTAACATGGTTATGGAAAAATGTTCAATTGTACCTGTGGCGCACATCATGGAAAACCAACCAAATATTTGCAAACAGCACACCTGGTAAGAGGTTACTGTCTAAAATGTATAAAGAATTCATATAACTCAATAGCAACAAAACCCACAAATAACCCAATTTTTGAAATGGGCAAAGACCCTGAATAGAAATTTTTCAAAAGAAAACGTACAAACAGCCAACAGGTCTATGAAAAGCTGCTCAATATCACTAATCAAGGAAATGAGCATCCAGGCCACCTGTTAGGGTAGCAGCTCTCAGTGAGTCAGGAGATGAGTGTTGGTGAGGATGTTGGCGCACTGTTGGTTGGGATGGAAACCGGTGCAGCCACTATGGAAAATAGCATGGAGGGTCCCAGAACACTTAAAACAGAACCGCCACATGCCCCAGTGATCCCACTTCTGAGTGTACATTTGAAAGAAATAAAAACTCTATTGAAAGTGACATCTATACCCCCACATTCATTGCACCATTATTTACAGTAGCCAAGATATAAAAACAACTTAGGTGCTTATGGACAGATGAATGGATAAAGAAATGTGAGGTGTATGCATAGCAGTATACATAATTTTGCAAAGACATGGTGAACGTGAAGGACATTATGCTAAGTGAAATCAACCAGACACAGAAAGAAAAACATTGCGTGATCTCACCATGCAATATTTTTAAAATATCGTACTCAATGTTAAAATCTTTTTCTAAAAAGCTGCACTCATAATAACGGGCAGTAGAATGGGGGTTACCAGAAGCTAGGGGTCAGAGGGAGACAGGAGATATCGATCAAAGGGTACAACCTTTCAGTAATAAAATGAGCAAGTCCTAGAGACCTGGCATACAGCCTGGTGACTAGGGTTAATAATAATGTGTCATACACTTAACATTTGCCAAGTGGGTAGATCTCAAGTGTTCTCACCACACACACACACACACACACACACACACACACACACACACACAGTGGTAACTGAAGTAATTGATATCTTCATTAGCTTGATACGGTGATTATTTCACAATATACACATACACCAAAACATCAGGTCATGCACCTTAATAGGTACAATGTTTATTGGTCAGTGATGTCATGGCTCATATTGCACGTCTTCCAGACAGCACTGAACTAAACTGGCTCTGTGGAACTCTGCTCAGGAGACCGTAGACCTCCGACTGGCACAAGGAGCAGCCTCCCTGGCTCGTGGTCATGGGCACAGACTAACTGGTTAATTTGTAGAATCAAATGCGTTCATATATGCGAAATGCACAGAAGGAGGCCTGGCACCTAGCAAGAGCTCTGTAAGCATTAGCTATAATTATAAGTACTAGCATTATTGACCTAAATTTCTAAAACTACAATTTAGCAGAGAAACACACCAAGGAGAGTTGCTGCTTGGCTTAGAATGAAAATTCACCAATAAAAGTCAAACTGCGAAAAGCTAAGGACCCTCATCAGTTGATCCAAAGGGTCCATGACCAGGGTGAACCGAGTGGGGCATTTTGCTAGGGGCAAAATTTAGGGAGGCATCAAAAAAACCTCAGGACTCAAGAGAGATAATATTCTAATGTAATATTTTAATAAATATAAAGTAATGCCAGAAATCCACGGTGAGCAAAAAATCAAAATTATTAATAAAGACCCTCACAGTGTTACTGGTCTCTCCCTTTTGCCCCAAGGTCCCGAAATGGCTCGTAAAGTCAGTTACGGATCCCACCTGGGCAGCCTCCCACTAGCCCCAGCCTGGACCCGCACGTAGTCTGGGATGAAGCGACCGTGCCAACAAAGCCAGGGCGTTGTGCCTGGACTGGCAGTGAAAACTTGCGGCACACAGCACAACCCCGAAGGAGCAAGGAACTCGCTGCTCCCGGCAACGCATTGCCACTGCTGCCCGGGAACTCCCAGGCTACCTTGCGGCCGTTCCCAGGATGCCCTGCAGCCCTCAGAGCCGAAGCCGGAAGTCAAAGTCAAAGCCGTTGCGGCCTCCAGCGGAGCCAGCCCTGCCCTGCCCGGTCAGCCTGGACACCCAGCCATGTACTTTCCCTGGTCTGGCATCGCCTCTAACTGGAGTGCTGTGGACTCCGGTGTCAACAACGCTGTAGACATCGTGGTGATGGTTTTGTACTTCCTGTTGGTCCTGGGCATCGGAATGTGGGTACGACAAGCTCTACAGGGGAGGGCAGGGCTCCGGGCCGCCCTTGACCGTCCCTGCCAGTCGCCTGGTCCCCACCTCCACCTGCAGCACTCTCGCATCCCCACCCCTGCTTGTGCACAGCCCTCAGCCCAGACCTCTCCACCCTCCCTTTGCCTCATTACTATCCTTGCCCTTCCAGGCAAGGGCAAGTTCACGTTCTCAGCAGTGGAGCTGTACTTGACCGAACCCACCTTCCCTCCCTGTCCCAGATAAACAGCTGGGTCAGATTTCTCTGTGCCTGCTGCCTAGAACCTAGACAGCAGTTAATGCAAAGTCGTTACGGTTATCGTGAGGATGGTGGTGACAATGACAGGTGCCAATGGTGAGGTCTTCAGTGCCACAGCCTCATAACTGTAGTGTGAACGACCCATTAGCTCCTCCAGTTTCACAGGTGGGGAAACTGAGGTTCAAAGAAGTTAAGTAACAACCAGAAAACTGTGGAGTTCAGATTTGAACCCAGAGCTGCCTGATCTGACTTAGGAGCTCAACCATGTTTGCCTTGCCAGCAAGACCTCAAAGGCCACACACATATAACTTTAGGGATCTTTCGTGTTCTCTTTGAACTTGAGCAAAGAGCTTAGACTTTCTCTTGTGTTACAAGGTTCTCTTAATAGAGACTGTCTCTCTTAATGCCGTTCACTCATTAAAGCTCAGCATGTTAGCACTCAAAAAGCTGTCCTTCACCATACTCCCCAGGGCCAGACCCTGCCCAGGAGGGGATGGCCCTTGTGCCAGGGAAAGCATCAGATTGGTGTGAAAGCGTCAGCTGATGTCATGGTACCATTGTCCCTTGGCTAAGCTGCCAGCCATCAGGCCTCTGCCTGACCTGCTTCACCAAGCAGAAGTAGCTGGTAACAATGCCACCATTCACTAACTAGTGGCAGACTTGTCACTCCACATGGTCCCCACCCAGCTGAAGCTTTCGTGCACGTGTGACCTTTAATTGGGGGCACGTCAACAGGTCACAAGCAGGACCTTGCTGTGCGGAATCAGGCCCTTAGCAGTAGGACCACTGGACACTTTTCAGGGCTTACAATGGAGACACGGTCTCCATCCTCTGAAGGGAATTTTGTACCAGAAGAGGGGATATAGGCCCTTTATTACAAATGTAAAAAGATCTGATGTGTTTCTACAGATCATTTAAACAAACAAAAAGAACTGGCATCAGTGATAAGAAACATCCTTGTGGGCAGCCGAGGCAGGGGCTCTGATTAGTACTTGTTTTGGGATCTTTTCCCCAGTTTCTGTTACTGAATTGAGAAGCCCCCACCCAGCCTTTCTTCTGAGCCCAGATGGGGCCTAGGTCTGGCCAAGGTCAGAGTACTAGTAAGCCATCTGGTCACTTCCAAAGGAAACCTGCTGTTCCTTCTGTTCTTGTTGGAGCCATAAAATATGCACAGTTATCCAGAAGGCTTTGATCTTTTTTTTTTCTCCCATATATTATTATCTTTCCTTTGGTTCTTTTTATAAACCATATATTGTTTTTAACTAGGAGAGTATAACATGCTTATTTTAAGAAGTGAAAAGATGTGTAAATATCTGAAGAATAAGTTACTAGTCTTCCCCATCCATTCCCATCCCTCTGAGGTGACCATGGACTGTGGAGCCTTCTTCCCCCTCCTCAGTGCTTATGCAAACCTATGGATACAAACGTAGAGATTCTGTGTTTTTGTCTTTACAAAAACTGATCATATTCCTACATTATTCTGCAGCTTGCCTTTTTTCACTTGCTAAATGGTGGAGAGAGTCCTCCAGGTGAGCAGAGAGCTCTAGCTCCTGTTTTTATTAGCTGTGTAACCATCATACCACTGGGTGCGCTGCTCTGCTTTTCTGTAGTAATTGACACTTAGGTAACTGCCAGGTAGGTTTTTCAGTTTTTAATGTGTTGGTGCTTTTAATCTGTGTGGCATGGATTCTGAAATTGGAATTGCTGGGTCAGAAGGCTATGTTTACTTAAAATTAAGTAACAGTCGACAAAACGTATTAAAATGTACATCTCACAAACAGCATATAGGCATGCCCTTTCCCCAAGCCCTCCTCACCAGCCTTGCTCATCGCTGCTTGTGTAATTGGCCGGTCTGATGGGTGAATAGAGGCATCTCATTGTGGGTCTAATTTGCACTTGCTGGGATCCTAGTGAGGCTGGGCATCTTTTCCATTGGTTTTCCTCTTCGGTGAATAGCCAGTTTATTTGCACATTTTTTTTATTGTTATAAACTTGTCTGTCACTCGAATTGCTAATATATTTTTTCCAAGCTATGATTTGTCTAGGTCAGTTTCTCAGCCTCATCACAAGTGATGTTTGGGACCAGTTAATTTCTTTCTTTTTTTTTAATATAGTTTATTGATTATGCCATTGCAGTTGTCCCATTCCCCCCTTCATCCCCTCCACCCTGCACACCCCTCCCACCCACATTCCCACCCTTTAGTTCATGTCCATGTGTCATAAGTTCTTTAGCTTCTACATTTCCCACACTACTCTTGCCTTCCCCCTGTCTATTTTCTACCTACCATCTATGCTACTTATTCTCTGTACCTTCTCCCCCTTCTCCTCCTCCCACTCCCCTGTTGCTAACCCTCCATGTGATCTCCATTTCTGTGGCTCCACTCCTGATCTAGCTGTCTGCTTAGTTTACTTTTGTTTTAGGTGTGGTTGTTAATCACTGTGAGTTTGCTGTCTTTTCACTGTTCATGTTTTTTTATCTTCTTTTTCTTAGATAAGTCCCTTTAACATTTCATATAGTAAGGGTTTGGTGACGATGAACTCCTTGAACTTGACCTTATCTGAGAAGCACTTTATCTGCCCTTCCATTCTAAATGAAAGCTTTGCTGGATAGAGCAATCTTGGATGTAGGTCCTTGCCTTTCATGACTTGGAATACTTCTTTCCAGCCCCTTCTTGCCTGTAAGGTCTCTTTTGAGAAATCAGCTGAGAGTCTGATGGGAACTCCTTTGTAGGTGACTGTTCCTTATCTCTTGCTGCTTCTAGGATTCTCTCCTTCATTTGAATCTTGGCTAATATAATTATGATGTGCCTTGGTGTGTTCCTTCTTGAGTCCCACTTCTTTGGGACTCTCTGAGCTTCCTGGATTTCCTGGAAGTCTATTTCCTTTACCAGATTGAGGAAGTTCTTTTTTATTATTTGTTCAAATAAGGTTTCCACTTGTGACTCTTCCTCTTCCCATTCTGGTACCCCTATAATTCGGATGTTGGAGCATTTAAAGATGTCCTGGAGGTTCCTTAGCCTCTCCTCATTTTTTTGAATTCTTGTTTCTTCATATTTTTCTGTTTGGTCATTTTTTTCTTCCTTCTGGTCCACTCCCTTGATTTGATTCCCAGTTTCCTTTCCATCACTATTGCTTTCTTGTGCATTTCCCTTCATTTCAATTAGTTTAGCCTTCATATGTTCCTCTAATTTGTGGCTAAAATCAACCAGTTCTGTGAGCATCCTGATCACCAGTGTTTTGAACTGTGCCTCTGATAGGTTGGCAATTTCTTGTTCGCTTAGATTTATCAGCTCTGGGGCTCTAAGTTCTCCTGTTTTTTCATCTTTTCTGGTTAAATGTTTCTTTCTTCCTTCTGGTTCCTTCCATTGATTTAAGTCCCAGTTTTCTTTCCATCACCATTGGTTCCCTGTGCATTTTTCTTCATTTTACTTAGTGTAGCCTTCATTTTTTCATCTAATTTGTGACCAGAGTCAACCAGTTCTGTGAGCATCCTGCTCACCAGTCCTTTGAACTGTGCATCTGATAGGTTGGCTTAAAAGTATTGGCTCTGGGGCTTTGATTTGATCTTCTGTTTGAGCCATAATTTTTTGTCTGGTTGAGCCTATTACCTGTGAGGGGCGGAGCCTTAGGTGTTCACCAGGGTGGGGCAACCCAGTGGCTGGGTTGTGACTCTGTATGTGGGGGCGGGTTCAGAGAGGGAGCAATGGCGCTTGTTCTGTGCTCTCTCTCAGATTTAGGTCCCCTCTGCTGCTTCCCACAGCAAACTGGGCCCTTCTAGTGCTGGTTCCCAGGTGGGTGGGCTTGTGTACATTCCAGGGTCTGAGAGAGACTGTGGGTCTCTCCAACGAACTCTCCTGTGAGGCTGGGAGTGTCTCCCAGCACCTCAACCCCCACAACTGTTTTCGGTCGGTGCTTTTAGGCTTAATTTCCAATCGCTGGGGCCCTGGGTTGTACAGTCTGTTTCACTGCCTGTTTTTGCTTAGTTTATCTGCATGCGAAGTCGGACCGCGGTCAGCCAACTCCATTGCTCTCCCTCTGGGTCTGCATGTTTCCCCCCCACGCCTGGGGTCTGCTGGCCCCACGCTGCCTGTGTGCCCAGGTCTGCCAACCACTGCTTGTCCTGCTGAGACCCCTCTCCGCCCCTCTTACTGGTCTGGATGAATGGTTGTCAGACTTTTGTACAGTTCAGTTTTCTGTCTATTCTGGTTGTGTTTTTGTTTCTAAATCTTTGCTGTCCTTAATTTTGGTTGTGTGAGGAGGCGCAGTATTTCCACCTACACCTCCATCTTGACCGGAAGTAGGGGACCAGTTAATTTCTTATTGTGGGGTCTGACCTGTATGTTATGCAGTTCCTAGAAGCATCCCTGACTGTACCCATTCACAACCAAATAGACATTGCCGCATGTCCCCTGGAGGGATGGGACAGAAACCACCCTGGTTGAGAGCCACTGGTCCAGACTCTATTAATGGTGCCTTGTTGTCATTTGAACTTTTGTTCACTCAGAAGTGAACTCTCTCCCTTTTTCTTTACATCTTCTAGATTTCCCAGTTGGCTTTTCCCCACTCCAAGTTTATGCAAATATTACTCTAAATTTTCTTCTAATATTCTATGGTTTGAGACATTTAAATCTCTAAAACGTCTGGGATTTACTTTTATATGTAAAGTGATGGGGGAGTTCAGCTTCCTGTACTTCCGGTTATTAAACCAACCACCTTTTCTCGGGGAACAGAATTGCCTGCACCGGCACATTCGGGCTCTTTCTGTGCATTCCTCAGCTTCTGTCGGCTGAGCATCCACAGGGAGCTGGCGAGTCGGTCTTTTTTGCTGATGCCTTGGCTGCTGGTGCCTTGTCTCTGGCACAGTGTTAAATGGGAAAAACTTTTCTTTGTTATTTTTCAATTACAGTTGAAATTCAATATTGGTTTCTGTTAGTTCCTGGTGTACACCATAGTGGTTAGAATATTATATAATTTAGGAATTGGTCCCTTCTATAAGCCTAGTGCCCAGCTGGCACCATACATAGTTATTACAATTGTACTACCAATTTGTACTTTTTAATCCCTTCACCCTGTTCACACAGCCCCCTGACCCTCCTCCCACCCAGAAATCATCAGGTTCTTCCTCTGCATCTATGAGTCTGTTTCTGTTTTGTTTGTTTATTTTGTTCTTTAGATTCTACATATAAGTGAAATCATACAGTATTTGTCTTTCTCTGTCTTGCATTTCACATCACTTACCATAATACCTTTTAGGTCCATCTTTGTTGTCACAAGTGGTAAAATTTCATTGTTTTTATGACTGAGTAATATTCCATTGTATGTATACGCCACATCTTCTTTACATAGTGAGGTACTGATGGACACTTAGGTTGCTTTTACATCTTGGCTATTGTAACTAATGCTCCAGTGAACATAAGGATGTGTTTTTTCTTGAATTCGTGTTTTGAATTTTTTCAAATAAATAGCAAGAGGCAGGATTGCTCGGTCATAAGGTAGTCCTATTTTCAATTTTTTTAGGAACCTCTACTGCCTTTCATAGTGGCTACACCAGTTTGCAGTCCCACCAGAAAGGCTCCCTGTCCTCACATCCTCGCCAGCACTGATGCCAGCCATTCTTACGGGTGTGAGGTGATATCTCGTTGTGGTTTCAACTTACATTTCTGTGATGATGAGCGACACTGAGCATATTTTCATACGTCTGTGGGCCATCTGTATGTTCTCCTTGGAGAAATGTCTGTTCAGGTCCTCTGCCCATTTTTTAATTGGATTGTTTCATGGATGGGGGGTTGGTGTTAAGTTGTATGAGTTCTTTATAAGCTTCAGGTATTAGTCCCTCTTTGGATGTATCATGGGCGAATATCTTCTCCCGGCCAGTAGGTCGTCCTTTCATTTCATGAGGGTGTCCTTTGCTGTGCACTTTTTACTTTAATGTAACCTCATTGTTCGTTCGTTCTTTTGCTTCCCTTGCCCGAGCAGACCTATCATAAGAAATGAGCTCCATCAGAGAGTTCACCACCCACATTTTCTTCTAGGAGTTTATGGTTTCAGGTCTCACGTTTAGGCCTTTAATCCATGTTGCTTTATTCTTGTATGCGGTGTAAGATGGTGGACTAGTTTCATTTTGTGGCATGTACCTGTCCACATTTCCCCAAGCCGTTTATTAGGTAGGTCTGCTGCGTCTCCCAGTCTTCACCAGGTGGCCTTCGGTAGTAGGTGACCTGTGGGCCCAGTGGTGCAGTTTCCCTGACTACCTGCCCTGTGCACCCCAGGTGTGTCCCTTCTGTGGGTTGTGTGTGCCCTGCTGTTGCAGTTGAGCCTTGATGGCTGTTGGCACATTGGTGGGTGGCATTGACCTTCAGACTGAGGTGCTGGGAGTACTGGTCATGACCACAGCGTGTGAACTCCTATACAAGGCTGACCCCGTGGAGTCGGATTTGCCCCAGCAGGCTTTGGGGCTTGCCAAGACCACTCTTTGGGTAGGCCTCTTGTGGATCTAATCTGGTGGTGCTCCTTTGGGTCTGAAGTGGCCACCAGGTATGCTGGCTCTGGTTCCTCTTGGGGGAGGCTCTGATGGAGGCCAAGGTCAGCTGCTGCCTGTAATCGACCCAAGGCTACCTGGCCATCTAGAAAGGATGTTTCTCACAACCGATGCCAGTTCCTTTTGTTTGTTTAAATGATCTGTAGAAACACATCAGATCTTTTTACATTTGTAATAAAGGGCCTATATCCCCTCTTCTGGTACAAAATTCCCTTCAGAGGATGGAGACCGTGTCTCCATTGTAAGCCCTGAAAAGTGTCCAGTGGTCCTACTGCTAAGGGCCTGATTCCGCACAGCAAGGTCCTGCTTATGACCTGTTGATGTGCCCCCAATTAAAGGTCACACGTGCACGAAAGCTTCAGCTGGGTGTGGACCATGTGGAGTGACAAGTCTGCCACTAGTTAGTGAATGGTGGCATTGTTACCAGCTACTTCTGCTTGGTGAAGCAGGTCAGGCAGAGGCCTGATGGCTGGCAGCTTAGCCAAGGGACAATGGTACCATGACATCAGCTGACGCTTTCACACCAATCTGACCTTTCCCTGGCACAAGGGCCATTTCCTCCTGGGCAGGGTCTGGCCTGGGGAGTATGGTGAAGGACAGCTTTTTGTTGTGGTTTTCAGAGGAGGTGAGCACAGCATTTATCTACTCTGCCATTTTGACTCTAAAGGGGTAAAACTTAAACTTTTTATTGTTTGCTTCCTTTCTTACTATTCTCTGCCAAGAAATTCGAGCAGGTATCAGATGCATCTTCCACCCTGTGAAACTCCCTGCTGTGGTTGTAGATTCTGGAAAGAGAGCAGAGCAGAGGCAGAGACACGGGCTTAAGCCACATCCTCCCCAGAATCTCCTCTTCTTCCAGTTGGGTTCTTTCTTTAATGTAAAGAGAGGATGAGTTTATTCATCTTAGAATATTTTTTAAAATTTCTTTTAAAAGTTTTAATGCACCTCTGTCTACCTACGACTGATACCTTCTTTAGAAAAGGTCAGGTTCTGCACATAGTAGGCCCTTGCTAAATATTTATTGAATGGTAGAAATGAGACTAAATGTGACCGACAGAGTTGTTTCTTGGGTTTAAGGCTTTATGATGTGAGGGGACCCCATTATAATGCAGATACCTCAGATGGCAGAAATGTAATAAGTGCACTCTTCCCACGAAGAGCAGTCTCATCCATGGGCTCTCATCCTTGGGTTGCACTAGTCGTGGGCAGTCCAGGGAATCCCCAGCCAGTACTGTCTTATGACTCTTCCAGGCTCTGGGAACCAGAGCTGGGAACCCCGAGTGGAGAGGACACCCTTTGAAAGACCCTAGAGTGGCGGTGGTGTGACCACTCTCCTGGAAGAAGCCGTGCACACGTTCGGACCCGCCATCCCTGATCGATCCGTGCAGTCACTAAACCTCCTGTCTCTGAGGCTCTGCCCGGAACCAGGGCACTAGTGCGCTAGTTGGGAAAAATAAAGCAGTATTATTTTCATGAGAGTGTAGAAAAATGGACATTCCCACACAGCGTCAGAGCTGGAAGGGACTGTGGTGCCAGCGAGGCAGCGACGAGCCCTCCTCTCACTCAGGGAGCGTGGGCTTCTGTTCCTGAAAAGGAAAGAAGGGAAAAGAGGACTTGGGAGCCCAGAAGAGTCCTACGTCTCTGTAGCAGTGTTGTTTCTATATTCCATTGTTGTTTGTTTTGTTTTGTTTTCCTTTGTTTCTTTAAGGCAATTATATCGAGCAGCCGTGGAACAGTAGAAGACTTCTTCCTGGCTGGCCGGAATCTAGCGTGGTGGCTGGTGAGTGTGGCGGTCCCCTTTGGGGGCTCCATGGTAACTCCTTTATTACTTTAATCTAGGTGTCTATACGCAAAATAATCTGAAGTTTTTAAGGCAGGAAAGCCATTCCGTTGGTAGTTCCTTTAACTCTTAAAGTAGTTTATTACCTAAATGTTTCCATTTAACTCAGTTTAGTTCAATAACCATTTCTTTGGTTACTGAAACATGCTTGAGACACTCTGCCCTCACGGGACTTGCATGTATGTTTTCTTCATCAGATTAGGGAAGTTTTCCTATCCCAGTAAACCCAGTGCATACCAGGAAATGGCACCGGCCTCTGGAACCACACAGCCTAGAATGGGAGTTAGACATGCCTCCTGTGAATTACACAGTGGGTTGCGGTGCAGTAGGTCCAACAGGAGGGGTGGGGCCAGCCACGGGTGCAGGGCAAACCCAGGCTGCCCAGGTAGGGCCAGACCCTGGTGCAGGACTGGAAGGTCTCACAGAGGTAGGTTGTTGGAGTGGTAGTTTGGAGGTAGAGTAGGCAACTCAGAGGTACAGCTCTCTGATTTATATTTGAATCTTCTTTTTTATAAACCTGATATAGAAATCGACTGTGGCAAAGCAGTGTTTGCAGTGACCCTCCTCCCTTGGTTTATTCCTCAGCAGAGAATTCTGGCAACACGATCTCTTCCTGGGCTATGAGGCCCCCAGTCTCTTGCCTGAGCCACTCCCAGGCTCTGAAGTCCTCCGTTCTGTCCCTGGAAAAGCGGCGGTCTGCTGCCCGTGTTACTGTGCGTCACTGTGGCACTCGCGTTGGCTTTTGCACAGCCCAAACACACCTTGGCCTCCTCACACTTGTGCCGTATGTTACGACTTACTGATTTCTGTACTGTGACCCCTGTTATAGGGTTATTGCTTAGTGAGCAAAATATATTGTGGTATCATTAAAGGAAATTGAAGTAGAAGAATAATTCTACCAAATTTCTCTTTTCTTTTATGTTTTTGTTCAGTCAACAGGTGTTTGATGGATATCAGTTGCTCTTGCCTGGGTCCTCCACATGGCTGGTTCTCCTTCCTTCCTTCCTTCCTTCCTTCCTTCCTTCCTTCCTTCCTTCCTTCCTTCCTTCCTTCCTTCCTTCCTTCCTTCCTTCCTTCCTTTTTAAATTGTACGTGGCATATCCTTGTAGTCAGTTCTTGGTCCTTGTTTCACCGGGCCCGGCCCTGGAGAACCTCTGGAACTGCCAGTCCTCCCTTCCTCCCCATTTCACCACCCAACTCTCCTCCTTTCCTGCTGCCTCCCCAGCCCCTTGTCCTCAGTCTCTCTGGCTGATTCTCCCCCATCTCCTTGGCGTCCCAACGCTGGAGCTCCCCAGGGCCCTGGACTTTCCTCTGCAAATCTGCTTCTCCTACCTGCTTTCTATCTCCTGAATGGCAGCTCTGTCCTTCTGGGGCGCAGCTTGACAAACATGGAGTCATATTAGACTTTTTAGTCTCTCTCACACCCAACATCCAATCCACCAGGGGGAAACATGTGTTTGAAATCTGACCACTTCTCATCAGCTCTGCCTCCAGGTCCGGACTGCCGTTGTCTCTTCCTTGGAGTGGTGGTAGCAGCCTCTTTCCTGGGCCCTCCTTCTGCCCCTGCTCCTCTGTTTCTAGTCTCAACAAAGCAGGGAGGCAGTTAAGGCTTGAGTCAGACCCTGTCACTTCTATGCTTAGAACCCTCTGGGGGCCCCTGTCACCCAGAGTGAAAATCCCACTGCTTATAATGGCCTGTGTTAGGCCATGGATGATCTGCCCCTCCTTACCTCTCTCACCTTGCCTCTAGGGACTCCTGGCTGCAGTCCTAGCCAGTGTCCTTGATCAGTCTGCTGTGCTTCTGCCTCAGGGCCTTTGCCCCTGCTGCTTCTCCTGCCCGAGGCTTGTCCCCACATGGCTCAAGGCTTGCTTCCTCCCCTGGCGTTCCTCAGGGCTCCTCCCCAACAATCTGTCCGGACTGGCCAGTTGCTCAGCACTTCCTGTTCATTTTCCCACCTTCCTCTTTATTAAGCTAGAAAATAACCCTGTAATTTATTTTGTTTATTTTCTTCTTGCCAAAAAAATGTTATTGTCATGACAGCAAGGATTTTTGTCTATTTTACTCACTAACGTTTCCCTAGGATGCTGCCTGGTACACAGGTGGCAGTGGACATACATTACGGTTACTGTAGTAGTGAGTGGTGACTCTTTAACCTGCCTTTAATATTGTATAAGTATCTTCCCAGGTCTATGTTAACATAGGTAGGTAGATAGATATTTTACACAGAGGGGCAAAAGCAGGTTTACAGTCGTGAGTACAGGACACAGAGTTTATTACAGTATTATTATTTGATAATTATTATATTAGTTTGGCCAAAAAGTTTGTTTAATTTTGCCCATACAATGGCCCTAATAGTGCTTAGTTGTCTTTAACTTCATTCAAAACAATTTTGTTAGATTGTATTGTGACAGCTGTCATATCAGCGTGCATTTAAAAAAACATCAAAACTTGGTGAATTTTTGTGCAGCCATTTTAATATTGAAGATGGAAGAAGACACACAACATTTTTGGCATATTATGCGTTATTCTTTCAATCAAGGTAAAAACACAATTGAAATGCACAAATTTGTGCTGTGTGTGGAGAAGGTGCTGTGACTGATCAAACGTGTCAAAAGTGGTTTGCAAACTTTCTCAGCACTATTCACATTTGGACAAATAATTCTTTGCTGTGGGGCTGTCTATGGACTGGAAGATGTTTAGCAGCGCCCCTGGCCCCTACCCACTAGAAGCCAATAGCGGCAGATAGCTGACATACTCAAAATGTCCAAATCAATAAGTTGTTGGTGAAAATGGAAAATGTGTCTTCCATTTTATGGGAAAAATAAACGGACCTTTTGGCCAGCCCAGTATTATTCCCACACAAACAGCTGTGGCCACTCTTGCCGCACCCCGAGTTTGCGCGGCTGCAGGGCCGTACAGGACACCTCATGTCGTGTTTGCCACGTCATCGGTGCTGTGGGCTGTATGTGAGTTCGCAGTGTCATCATGAACACAGTGCGCGTCCCAGTGGGGAAAACCACTGCCGTCACCTGAGTACTGAGTAGGTGCCTCTTCTAAGATTTTTCCACCTCACGTTTGTTTGTCGCTGCCAAGATGTTGGTGCCCATGCTCACCCGACAATGTCTTATGACTGCACTTACCTTTCATAGTTCCAACAACACAGCCTCTCGTTTAATGCTTTTGATATCAAATGCTATTTTATCTTATGTTAATATTGTCAGCACTGTTTGTTTATTTGTTTGTACCTAAAAGGCTTTTATATTTTAAGCCTCTCTTGATAATTTGGTTTTAGATGTGTCTCATGTCAACAGCATAGTACTCGGATTTTTGGTTTAATGGAGTGGCTGTCTCCACTCAGTTAAAAAGCCATTATTGGTTTAGAAGGGATTTTGTTCATTTTAAATGCCTCTGGGATTTTTTTAAAGTAACAGATGTTGGTTGTAAAAAAAATTAAAAGTTGCAGTCCAAGTGTAGGCCTCAAAATTTTCTCCCAGTTCCATCCCTATACCCATAATTTCAGCCCCAATAAGTACTCTGTCATATATGTGTATATACATATGTGTATATATGTATATAAATGTATATGTGCACTATAATGTACACACTTAAATTTTAATGAGACTATATTGTAAAGTTTTTTATTACTTAATAGAGCTCCTTTATTCTTTTTTATGCTACATTGTATTTCATTGTTTTCATGTATTTCAACCAGTCCATTATAGATGACCAGTTAAAATGTTAATATTTTTTAACAGTTCCCAAACGATGGTGGAGTTACACTCCTGCGAATATTTCTGCCTTTCTGCCTTGGGGGATGACCAGGGAGTCGGTGGGGCGTGTGGAGGGCGGCAGTGTCCGAGCAGCTGTTCACCTCCTTCAGCTTCTCCCTCTTCACTGGGCTTCTAATTTGTGGTTAGGGTTCACGTAGAAGGAACACGAATGGGAATGATGGCCAGGGGATAATCCCTTTTGAAAAACTGTATACTTCGGCTTGAGTTGACATTTGTGAAATTACTTCTTGGACTTGAACCACAAGTTCTGACGTGGAACTGCCTTTTGATTCCCAGGCAGGTGCGTCCCTCTTTGCCTCCAATACCGGCACCGCCCACTTCATGGGCCTGGCTGGGACAGCAGCGACGTCGGGGGTCGCCATCGGGGCCTTCGAGTGGAATGTGAGTCATTGGTCTTGTAGCAGCCGCCCCCCCCCACCGTTCCCAGGGTCCAGATAAAGCTCACAGACACAAAGACTCAACCCTGAGGAGACACTACAGAGAAGCCATGGAAGAAAGGGACTGAGTTCTCAGTTTCTCCAAACACTGTGCTAGTTTCTTATCTTCTTGGTAAATCAGTGAAGAGACAGCGAATCTTTACCTTTCAGGAACTGTGGCATACGCTAAACAAAACTTAGTGGTTTAGGAGAGTAGTCATGTAGAGAAAAGATCATATTACTATTTAAATACCTGCACATGTGTATGTATATACATACACACGCATATAATGCAGTACAAAAGACAGCTAAAAAAGAAATACATCTGGCAGAAGTGACGCCTGCTTCAGTGTGGTTGGTAGGGTAGTAATATGGGTGTGATTTATAGTTTTAACTTGAACGTTTCACCTAAAATGCCACGTGGTGTGCTTGAGTGGGATATTGTGTTACAGAATCACATGCTTATGATTGTGTCATGAAGAGGGGCATTATTTGTGCCAGACCCTGTCAGTCTGTGTGTGTATATGTGTGTATATCTGTACACAATATGCACATGTACATATATCTGTGTGCACATATTTGCAGTGTCTATTGAGAATGGGCTCACCTGAGCTCAGTGAGATGTTCAACTAGTTACTACAAAACTCCTAATTAATCTCCTTAAGGAGACCAGATTTTAACTATAAAACTTATAAAGTGGGTTGTCTGTTTGACCCGTGGGATACATGTGTTGTGGGACACAGAACTGCTCACCTAAACTGTCAGTGTATTTATCAGTCTTCTGTCAATTAGCCCATCGTCATCTGACTTCTGCTGGACAAATCAGAAAGCCCCCTGTTTTCCGAGTCACACTTTCCTCTGGTGGACTACAGAAATAGGGGACACTTGTAGCAGTCAGTCCCAAACCGAGTAAGCCACCCCAGGCTTTACAGCCCTTTCCTCTCAGAATTTATAAGCGTCTCCTTCACACACTCAGTTTGCCTTACCCCTTCTTTGTAAAGAAAGCCAGACCCAACTTTTTACTTCATTTTAGTAACATGTATGAAGTGTCGGTACAGTCTCTCTCCCATTTCTCTGAATGGTTTCTGGTTTGTCTTCTTTTTAAGCTGTCTTTTATATTTATTCCTATCGGGGAGTAGGCAGACAGTAAATTAATAATAAATACTTTGAAATTTGTCTCAATGAACCACCCCTACAGTTAAGAATGCACCCCTATGTAGGCAAAGATCAAGTGCCTATAAGTTCAGTTCACCAGACAGAAAAGTTTACACTTGGGCTGTTATTCGAAGGCCCCCAGTAGTGATACCTTAGGCTCAAAATGGATAGTGAGTTCACCTCCCCGTTCATGTGTACATACTGAATGGATACCTTTGTCTGCCCTGGGGTCGTCTTTCTGACGCTACTCCTCTGTCCAATGAATATATGACAGTGAAGAGCTCAGCCTGTGTGGGGACCCTGATGTTTCTCTTTTTGATTTCAGGCTCCATTTCTGCTCTGTGTTCTTGGTTGGATATTTTCTCCTATTTACATTAAGGCTGGGGTGAGTGTCTTTTACCAGTTCCTCAATTTTCTATGATACTTTTTTCTTACAAATACTGCCTTTGTACATAAAAGCATCCTGGAAGATAAGTCCAAGTTCTCGGCCTCTTGATCCCTGTACTGACTCCCCCAAATCCCAAGAAATGCCTCCAATAACATTGTTCTGCTGGGCAAACAGGTGCCAGTAACCGCCTCCTCTTTCACTCTGGACTTAGGAGTTACCACTTCAGGTTTGTATAGGAAACATTTTAAAGCTTTTTAAAGGCCTAAATAAATGAAGAGAACAATTATGTTATTGGCAGACAGTCACCTAAAAATGTTAGTTCCCCCCAGATTGGTCTGTTCGTGGAATGCAATTCCAAACAAAACCCAAACAGGACTTTTAGGGACTGACGGGCTGATTCTAGGGGTGCAGAGACCCACCCAGCTGAGAGGGCAGAACGAAGAGACCTCTAGGCTGCACATCCACAGGGACATGTGAAGTGATGTCATCATGTTGGCAAAATCAGAGTCTTCCACCACCTTCCCCCGAAGAATACCAATTTAGACAATCACCCACAGGCAGAGGGCATTATGGAAGTCCATGAGTCTAGCAGAGAATTTCTAGCACACTGATAGATTAAAGAGAAAAAGACTTTGGACGCATTAAAGAGAGTAAGGGGAATAGGTCACTTTATCAGTGTCACCCCTCCCCAGGGTGACATAGCTTTAGTACCAAGAGCAAGCTTCTCCTCCAGAGTTTTCTCCTGAGAGTCTGCAGATGAGAGCCTGGCTGCCCCAGCTGCGCGGCTGCTGCCAGAGAGACCTACTGCCTTCCCATCTCAGGCCCCGAGGGGTGCTGCCCCACTGGGGGCCAGGAGGTGGCTGAGAAAACAGCAGTCAGGCTCCCAGATGGCGTCAGAAGAGCGGGGACCCTACCAATTCCTCTGCAGACTGTCAGGAAGCCTGCCAAGGACCTGTTGGGGTCCTCTTATCTGCAGAATCCCCTCCTGGCCCACGGGTACCCCACCACTCTACGCATCTCACCTACGTGTATTTCTACCCTGTGACCAGTGCCCACTGAGCACCCCTGCTAGTGGCAAGAGGGAGCCTTTGCACGAAGCTGGTGGGCACGTGCAGAAAGCCAGCCTGACTCTGGCTTGGGAGAGAGCATGCGGACTTGAACCTTCAGCGTCACACGAGGGGAAGCAAGCGAACGGGAGGCTGGCAGCACTCAGCCTGGCTCTGCAGGATCGAGAGAAGACGGATCTATTTTAAAATTCCCACTCGTGAGGGGACAAGAAGGGCAGAGGAGGGTTACTCACAGAAAAGGTCCCAGAAAGCTCCAGAATCCCCAGCAGGGGCGACAGGTGTTTCTCTCCAAGGCCAGTCAGCAAAGACTGGAGGAGGTGGCTCTCCCTCGAATGCCAAGACAGCAGTGGAAGACGGCGAGAATGTGAGACGTCAGGGGTGGGCGACACCACCAAAGGAGCAGGACAGTTTCTCAGTGACCAACCCCAGAAATGGGGGTCCGGGATCTGCCTGATGAAGAATTCAGAACAGTTGTTTGAAGGAAGCACAGCAGCTACAAGAGAATACAGGGAGACAATCCAGCAGAATAAGGGAAACAATGAACAAAGAAAATGAGCAGTTTGACAGAGAGAAGTCATAAAAATAACCAAACGGAAGTCCTGGGGCTGCAGAATACAATGAATGAAATGGAAAATACAATAGAGAGTGTCAGCAGCAGACTGGGACCAGCAGAGAAAGAAGCCGTGAAGCAGAAGACAGGTCAGGTGAAGTTATCCAGGCAGAGAAGGGCAAAGACAAAGGAGTGAAGGAAGCCTGCGTAAGCCGGGGCTGGGGGACGCCAGGAGAGAAATAATCTACACGTCGTCTGACTGTGAGTAGAAGGGGAGGGGGGATGAGGCAGAAAGTTTATGTAAATAAATAATGGCTGAGAAGTTAACAAATCTGGGGAGAGAATTGGATACCCAAAATCATGAAGTTCACAGGTTCTCCCCAAAATGTCAACAAAAAGTTATCTTCTCCAAGACACATTATAATGAAACTGTCTAAAATCAAGTACAAGAGAAAAATGTTTAAGGCAGCAAGAGAAAAAAATGCCTCCCTTGCAGGGTGACACCCATAAGGCCCTTGGCGGCTTTCTCAGCAGAAGCCACGCAGGCTGGGAGGGAGGGGACAACACGGTGAACACAATGAGAGAGAAAACTGCCGAACAGGAGCGCTGTACCCGACGAAGTCGTCCTTCAGAAAGGAAGGCTTTTAACACTTACCAAATGGAAGACTGGAGGAGGTCATACCACTAGAACTGCCTGACGAGTAATGCTTAAAGGAGTTCTTCAAGCCTAAATGAAAGGATGCTAATTAGTAACGTAAAAATATACAACACACTGGTATAAGTGAGGATAGAGTCAAATTCAGAACATTCAAATACTGGGATGGTCATCAACTTAAGTCTAGTATAAACGTTAAATGGTAAAACTATTAAAATGACTATCTACATCATGGATACATAATATAAAAAAGGTAAATGATGACATCAAAATATCAGGGGGGAAGTAAAAGGGTAGAGTTTTTGTATCAATCAAAGATACCCACTTAAAATAGACTGTTACAGCTATGAGATGGGGGGTTGGTTTTTGTTTTTAAGATTTTACTTATTTTTAGAGAGATGGGAAGGGAAGGAAAAAGAGAGAGAGAGAAACATCAGTGTGTGGTTGCCTCTTATGAGCCCCCCACTGTGGACCTGGCCCACGACCCAGGAATGTGCCTGACTGGGAATCCAACCGGCAACCCTTTGGTTCCCGGGCTACGCTCAATCCACTGAGCCACACCAGCCAGGGCACTGTAAGATGTTTTATGTAAGCCTCATGGTAACCATGGTAGCAAAAGTAGCAGAACCTTCAGAAGATTCACAGGAGATGAAGAGGAGAAAACCAAAGCATCCGCTACGGAAAGTTCACAGGGGAAGAAAGTAACAAAGAAGCTGCAAAGCAGCCATAAAACAGCTAGTGCAATGGCAGCATTAAGTCCTTACCTATATATAATTACTTTAAACATAGATGAATTAAATTCTCCCATCAAAAGGCGTAGGGTGGGTGGCAGAATAGATTTTTCTAAACAGAATGGTACCTGTAGTTAACAATACGATATCATACACTTAAAAGTTGCTTAGTGAGAAGATCTGAAATGCTCTCACCGCAGAAGGAATGTTCGTTCTGTGAGGGGATGGAGATGTTAACTAACCTCACTGTGGTGATGCTCATTTCACAATACATACGTGTATCAGAGCCTGTTGTACACCTTAAACTTACATGATGTTTTCTAGCATATCTCAGTAAAGCTAGAAAAAAATAAATAAAACGTATGTAGGAGAGCAAAAGTATGTGAATAGCAAACACACTCCTGTCAAAGAAAAAGGACTTGCCCTACTTAATCTAAGGGCTTCTTGTTGACGTGAGGACGGCACAGGGACACTTGTCCGTGAGGCAGAGGGAAGCCCAGGCACATTCAGACAGGGCATCTGTGACTCTGACGGTGCAGCGGATCAGCGAGGGAAGGAGGGCCGCGATTACCACGTGAAAAGACAAAATTGGCTCCCTGTTCTACACAATAATTTTAGATTGATTAAAGACTTAAATGGGAGATACAAATTGTCCTGTTTTTACAAGACAGTACGGAGTACTCGTAGGGCCTTGACAGAGGATTATAAAGTAAGATTAAAAAATCCCAAATTCCTGGCTGACCAGCCCCCCCCAAAAAAAGAAAACAAACTAGAGGATGTCTGTCCTGCGTAGACAAGAACACGCAAGGGTATTCTGGACAGAAGGTGGGACAGGCTTCATTTACCAGTTGTCTGCTCACCTCCCACGCACAGGCATGTGCCCGGGCCCAGGAGTCTGACCCACAGAGAGGGCGCGCTCCCCGCCACCAGACGCACCCAGCCTGAGAGGGTGGAGCAGAAGTGAGCTGGGTTATCTGGGGCACCAGCACACACACGGGCATCGTTCACACAGAGCCTGTGATAAAGTTCTGGGTGATAAAGCATTTAATCTTGCTCTGTGACTTTTTCGTAGAAGTCATTTGTCGTCATTAAACATTTTCAATTAGCTGGATCTCCTTCTTCCTGCAGATTGCACCGAAGCTCAATTCCAAGCTTCTTGGAGATAGCCGTATTTCCCCTCCTTTCTTATTTCTGTCCTCTTCACAGGTACCGGGTAGTAAGTACAAAGCCAGAGTTGGTGACCCTGCATCTTGCCTTCCTGGGCCACTGCCACCATCAGCTGAATCTCTCTGACAACCAGCACGTGGTGAGCAAGGCCCATCCCTGTGGCCTGCCCTTCCTGGCGCTCCTTCAGTGACTTCTCTTATTGCTTGTACAGGTGGTGACAATGCCGGAATATTTGAGGAAGAGGTTTGGTGGCTGCCGGATCCAGATCCTCCTCGCCACTCTGTACTTACTCCTCTATGTCTTCCACAAGATCTCAGTGAGTTATTTCAAAGTCAGTCCAAGAAAGAAAACAAAACTCAGTGGACAGGACTGGGCTGTGTCTGTCCCAGCGAGGCCCCATACATGACTTATTGGCCTCTGCTGGTAAAGCCAGGGCAGAGAAAGAAGAGCTTCATGAGAGTTTACAAAAGCTGAAAGACAGAGACATCGTCTGTGCCTCCCAAGCCTGGGGTACAGGCCCCTCCTCTGTATTCCCAGAGAACCTTGGGCTGTGTCATGTCATTAGGTAATGTCACTCTCTGCTTAAAACAACCCAGGAGCTTCTACCACCCATGCAAGCACACCTGCAACCCTTGTCATGACCAGTAAGGACCGTCTTATTCTAGCACCTGCCTCTCTGGCCTTGTCCCCTCTCTTACAGTCACCGTGCCGTAGCCACACCAGCAGCCTTATTGTTTCTCAAATCCTGCAAGCTTATTCCCACTTGACGTCCTTGACACCTGCTCTGTACTCTGTCTAGAATGTTCTCCCCTCATGTTTTCCAAGTATCTCCTTGGAAATGCCTTCCATGGACATGGCTGTCAGCCTCTGCTCCATTACTCTGTCTTTATTTTCTCTGTAAAACTTGTCACCATGTGAAAGAGATTTATTTGCTTCCTTGCTCATTATCTATCTTCTCCAACTCCAGCACAGACTTCTTGAGGCCCAGGGCCTTGCCTGGCTTATTCACAGCGTTATGCCCCCTGTGCTGAGAACACGTACAGCACATAAGACACTCGATAAATGTTTCCCGAAGGATCAAATGAGTGCCACTCACCACGTCATGTGAAAAGTGCCTGTTTAATGGTCTGTGTCCATCATTAAGTGTCAGCTACTTGAAGACAGTGACTGGCTTTTCATAACCATTTTCATAACCCTGGCTTTTCATAATCCTGCGAAATACCTAATATGTTGCTGGTGCTCGGTAAACCTTTGGTAAATGAATGGATAGGGGAATGTTGGGAGAATCTCTGCCTATTGTATGTCTGGCTTTGAAGACCAGAATAACAAAACAGGAAGTTGGCTGGTTAAATGATGCACAGATGCTTCAGAATCTAAGCCAGGGATCAGCAAACCCGGCCCAAAGGCCAGTCCTCATAGTGGCCTGCTTTGAACAGCCCTTAAGCTAAGAATGGTTCTCACTGAACTAAAGGACTGTAAAAAAACAGAAATGGCATGTGGCCTGCATAGCCAACAGCATTTACCATCTGGTCCTGTACGGAAAAAGCTGGCCAACGCCGAGTGAGCTGTTCCCTTTGCCTTCCCCAGTGCGGAACTTCCCCAGTGCAGAACTTCCCCGGTACAGAACTGCAGGAATAGCTCACTCTCCGAGCATGCTCCCCACTCTGATGCTCCAGGGAGGAAGAGGCTAAGTGGTATTAAATGGATTAATTGGGTTAACCTAAGCCCTGAAGGTGCTGACCTTGGCTGAACTCATGGGGCACAAGCCTTGTTGCCCAGCAGAACTTGGGTGACCCTCACCTAGTGCCCCTAGTGATGCAGCACTGTGCCCACGGCAGGTGGCTTCCGAGGGCTGCTGCGGGCTGAGCTGCAAATGGAAGAGCAGCCCGGCGCCTTGTTCTCATTTCAGGTGGAGATCTGCACTGGGGCCATGTTCATGAGGCTGGTCCTGGGCTTGGATATTTACCTGATCACCATAGTCCTGCTGACAATTACTGGTATTTATACCATCACAGGTGAGGCTACTCTGACCACACAGGTATTTATGTTAACACAAAAGCTCTACCTCCTAGGGAAGTCCTGGTAGACACTGAGGCAGGGGTCTTCAGCTTTTACTTTTCCCTGAAGTCTGTAGAGCACATTGCTGAGGCCTGGTGCAGGAAGGGGCGCAAATAGTGAAACTAACCCGGCAGCAGTGCCACAGTGGAGCCCCGCAGGGTCGGCAGCAATGCCATTTTAGGTGGTGGTGGGCCGGATACAACAGGCTGCTCAGTAAAAAAATGGGACCACAGCCCTGGCTGGTGTGGTTCAGTGGATTGAGTGCTGACCTATGAACCAAAAGGTCACTGGTTTAATTCCCAGTTAGGGCACATGCCTGGGTTGTGGGCTAGGTCCCCAGCTGGGGGTGTGTGAGAGGCAACTGATTGATGTTTCTCTCACACATTGATGTTTCTCTCCCTCTCTTTCTTCCTCTCTTCTCTCTCTAAAAGTAAGTAAATAAAATCTTTTAAAAAAAAGAACCCAGCAAAAGATTATTGAAGGAGATTAAAGAGAGAAAACAGGGGGTACCAAGACCAGGCATACGTAGGTGTCAGCCCCACTGAATTAAAGGGGCAGACGGTACAAATGTGGAGCCTGGAGGAAACAGGAGCGTAGATCAGGATGCCACAGCAGCTTCCAGCAGAAAGAGCCAAATGTGCTTTCGTTCCTCTCCCTCCTGCCTCTTCAGGTGGTTTCGCAGCTGTGGTGTATACTGATACCGTACACGCTGGCGTTATATTTCTGGGATCAGTCTTGCTGATGGGCTTTGGTAAGTAAATCTTGAGAAGATTGGGTACTGTGGATGGTATCTTTGAATCTGGTCGCTGCCTGGAGCCGTTTCAGCACCTTCGTCTTGCTGATGGGGAGACTGAGGCCCTCAGAACCTAAGATCGTCACCTAAGGTTGTGCTGAAAATCGGGGAGGAAACTTATGCTTAATGAGAAGAAAGGAGTCCAGGGATGAGAGTGGCGGTGACAGACTCTGGTGCTTTGGGACGGTAGGCCGGGGTGGTCCACCACTCTTATCCCCACCTCTGCCCATGCTCTTCCTCTGCAGTTTGAGCCCCTCTGCTCTGCATCCACTCAGTCAGACCCATCTGCCCCTGTCAGTGGAAGATGCTGGCCAGAGGTGTGATTCTGTGATCATTCCATCTGCACGCCTTTCTCCTCTGGCCCTGCATCAACCGCCACACAGCTTATTTTTCTCTGCACACACACCTGGGTTGCTCATCGGTTGTGTCACATGCGTGAACCATATATCCCAGGTTCAGAACTCCTTAGGAACCAGGGCCATCGTATCCCTCATAAGCTGCAGTGTGAGGCACATGGTAGATTATTCATTCACCCAAAAAAGGGGAGCATTAAGGGAAATTGGGAAATAAAAGGGCAAGATAAGAATCCAACAAATTATTAAGTAATAAGAATGAAAATAATAGCTGGTATGAATTGGCTATCAGGTACTGTGTAGGCATTTGTCTGTATTGCCTTTTGAACCATCACCAGCACCATGAGGCATCACCACTATTGTTATCCCCATTCTACACACGAGGAGACTGGGCCTCAGCCAAGTAACTTGCTCACCAGACTCACCGAGAGCAGAGCCAGAACTGGGTCTCTCTGGCGCCAAAGCCCGGCACATGGACATACATATTGCAGCACCTGTCATGGCAAGCGCTCTTACCTTCAAACGGAAGTCTCCCTCCTCCAGCTGGGACAGGAGTGCGACTTAGGGAAGTAGGCGTTGCCCACTGCTGCGCGGGTAAGAGATCGGTCTTGCAGAAACCTAGAAGGAGAGGTTCTTGGCCCAGGTATTGAAAAAATACTGAAGTGGTACGTGAGTACAGTGGAAGGATTATGGTTTCCTAGATCTCGTTGTTGTGCCCCATGCAGCGAGGACAGATAAAATCAAACAGAACACACTGTCCTCGGTCTTACTGATCAGTGAGCATGAGTGTGCCCTGAAGTACACTCGGTGCAGTGTTGCTGGGGAAAAAAATGCACACTGAGCATGACCCGAGGAACTCTTCAGTGAGCTGGGAAGCGATGGCTTCCTAATGACAAAACTATAAACTAAAACACACTAAGTTATTGTGATTAATAGTGTGCTAGTGTTAAACATCAACACTTTTCTTATCCTCACCTGAAGACATGCTTATTGATTTTAGAGAGGGGGGAAGGCGGGGAGAGAAACATCCATGTGAGAGAGAAACATCAGTCAGCTGCCTCCTGTACACGCCCTGATTGGTGACTGAACCTGCAACCTGGGCATATTCCCCGACTAGGGATCGAACCTATGATCTTCCTGATAATGGGACAATGCTCCCACCAACTGAGCCACACCAGCCAGGGCAACATGAACATTTTTCAAACCAGCCAAGGCCCCTCCCCCCAGTAGTTGAAAATAACATCCATTTAAACTTTAGGAGTGGGTGGAATATTCCACTTAATGTTAGATTAAACATTTTCTATTAATTATATTTCTAAATAATTATATTTTCTTTACTGTTGTAGACGAATGTCTGTGTCCCTCCAAAATTCATATGTTGAAATCCTAATCCCCAATGTGATGGTATTAAAAGAGGCTTTGGGGGCCTCTGCCCTCATGAATAGCATTAGTGCCTTTATAAACAAAACCCCAGAGAGCTCCTCCCCCCTGCCACCCTGCGAGCACGCGGCGGGTGCAGAGAGGGCTGTACCTGGACCAGGAAGTGCACCCCCGCCAGACGGCCGATTGGCCAGCACTCTGGTCTTGCACTTCCCCACATCCAGAACTGTGGGAAGTAAATATTTGTTGTTTATAAGCCACCTAATCTATGGTATTTTATTAGAGCAACCTGAACAAACTAAGACATTTTCTCAGAAATTTAATGGGATTATTTCATTGAAGTATTCATGTTAGTTCTTTTGACAAGTAAACTATTATAAAGTGATAGAATAATTTTTTTCTTTTTTAAAATATCTTTTATTGATTGTGCCATTACAGTTGTCCCATCCCTCCCCCTTCATTCCCCTCCACCCTGCACACCCCCTCCTACCCACATTCCCCCCCTTTAGTTCATGTTCATGTGTCATAAGTTCTTTAGCTTCTACATTTCCCACACTACTCTTTCCCTCCCCCTATTTTCTCCCCACCGTCTATGCTACTTATTCTCTGTACCTTCTCCCCCCTTCTCCTTCTCCCACTCCCCTGTTGCTAACCCTCCATGTGATCTCCATTTCTGTGGCTCTGCTCTTGATCTAGCTGTCCTCTTAGTTTGCTTTTGTTTTAGGTGTGGTTGTTAATAACTGTGAGTTTGCTGTCTTTTCACTGTTCATATTTTTATCTTCTTTTTCTTAGATAAGTCCCTTTAACATTTCATATAGTAAGGGCTTGGTGATGATGAACTCCTTGAATTTGACCTTATCTGACAAGCACTTTATCTGCCCTTCCATTCTAAATGAAAGCTTTGCTGGATAGAGCAATCTTGGTTGTAGGTCCTTGCTTTTCATGACTTGGAATACTTCTTTCTAGCACCTTCTTTCCTGGAAGGTCTCTTTTGAGAAATCAGCTGACAGTCTGATAGGAACTCCTTTATAGGTGACTGTCCCCTTATCTCTTGCTACTTCTAGAATTCTCTCCTTCATTTTAATCTTGGCTAATATAATTATGATGTGCCTTGGTGTGTTCTTCTTTGGGTCCATCTTCTTTGGGACTCTCTGAGCTTCCTGGATTTCCTGGAAGTCTATTTCCTCTGCCAGATTGGGGGAGTTCTCCTTTATTATTTGTTCAAATAACCTTTCCACTTGTTGCTGTTCCTCTTCCCCTTCTGGTACCCCTATGATTTGGATGTTGGAGCATTTAAAGATGTCCTGGAGGTTCCTAAGCCTCTCCTCATTTTTCTGAATACTTGTTCCTTCATTCTTTTCTGTATGGTGGTTTCTTTCTTCCTTCTGGTCCACTCCATTGATTTGAGTCCCAGTTTTCTTTCCATCACTATTGGTTCCTTGTGCATTTTTCTTCATTTCACTTAGTGTAGTCTTCATTTGTTCCTCTAATTTGTGACCAAAACCAACCAGTTCTGTGAGCATCCTGCTCACCAGTGTTTTGAACTGTGCATCTGATAGGTTGGCTATCTCTTAGTCGCTTAAAAGTATTGGCTCTGGGTCTTTGATTTGTTCTTTTATTTGAGCCATAATGTTTTGGTCAGGTCACACCTGTTACATATGAGGGGCGGAGCCTTAGGTATTCACCAGGGCGGGGCAACCCAGTGGCTGGGTTGTGACTCTGTATGTGGGGGCAGGGTCAGAGAGGGAACAATGGCCCTTGTTCCCCACTCTCTCGGATTTCAGTCCCCTCTGCCGCTTCCCACAAGCCAGCACCTTTTTAATGGATGCTTTTAGGCTTTATTTCCTATCACTGGGGCCCTGGGTTGCATGGTCTGTCTCACTGCTCCCTTTTTTTGCCTGGTTTATCTGCACACAAATGTGTGTCCGTGGTCAACCAACTGCCTTGTGGGTCTCAATGGACCTGCTCCTTTCCTCCCGGCCCCGGTGTCTGCTAACCACTGCTCCTCCTGCTGGGATCCCTTCTCACCAGCTGCCACTCCACCCCTGTTACTGGGCTGGATGAATGGTTCATTGTTGTCGGACTTCGGTACAGTTCAATTTTCTGTTTGTTCTGGTTATGTTTTTGTTTCTGAATCTTTGTTGTCTTTAAATTTGGTTGTGCAAGGAGGCACAGTGTCTCCACCTATGCCTCCATCTTGGCCAGAAGTCTGTTTTCTTTTAAAATACAAGATATACAAGAACTTGTATATCCAAATGAGTACTGTCCTTCAAACTGGTCACCATGGGAACCCATGCCAATTTTAGTTCTTATTTTCAGGTAATATATACATAAACTACACAAAACAAGAGGACACAGTCAGTCACTCCTTGCCCTCAGTTTTTCAGCCTGAGCCCCTAGACAAGCAGTATTGGAAGTTTGTGTGTAGCCTTCCAGAGACAGTCCTCATACATACAAACATTTCTGATCATTGAGATACACATTTGAATAGAATCAAAACAAAATTTTGTGCCTGTTTTTCCACCACTGGTACTATATCAGAGGCAAATTTCTGTATCAGTGAATTGAGATCATCTTTTTTTGATTTTACATTTGTAATAAACTTTTTACTGGAAAGTGCGTAAGTCAAAGCATGTAGCTATTACGTACAGAGATTACTGCGTAAACACGCTCCGGTAACCAGCACCCAGACGCTTTCTGATTAGCCGAGCGTGGGTCTCAAACCCATTCGTCAGTCACTGCCCAGGGTGCAGGGAGCATGGGTCAGGCCTGGGTCCCCTGGCTGACTGGAGTGGCAGGCAGCTTGACAAGACCCTCCTACAGCCACAGAGTATGAAATGTCGCTGGAAAGGGGGCTTCTGCCACCGGAGGCAGGCATGGGGTCCCCGGGGTCTCCAGGCTCCCAGCCACAGATGCCCACTGTGCTCTTCCTTCCACTGCACTTTCTAGATTGGACAGTTCGTCAAACCGAGTCTGTCTTTGCAATCTTGGTTCTTCAGACGAGTGTTATTATACCATTTACAGGTACTGATAAGTTTTGTATTGTTTCAAAGCCTTTAAGGAAGTGGGAGGATACCAGGAGCTACTGCATAAATATTTAAATGCGAAGCCAAGCATAACTCAGGAAGGAAACTGGACCGCCAAGCCAGAGTGCTACCTCCCTCGCCCGGACTCTTTCCACATCTTCCGAGACCCCATCACTGGAGACATCCCCTGGCCTGGCGTCGTCTTCGGCCTCCCCATCCTCTCCTTCTACTACTGGTGCACCGACCAGGTAACGAGACCGTTGCAGCGGGGCGACTGGTGGGTCCCAGGCTGCACCGCAGAGGGCCAGCACCCCTGCCGATATTAATGTATTGCCTAAATAACTTCGCGTGAAATTCTGTTTAAATGGAATTTCTCCCACAGGTCCACCTATAAAACATCAGCTGTTTTTGGTTTTTTCCTTCACTCTCACTATCAAAAACACAGTTTGGGGGGAGATACAAAAAACAAGTCAGTTCTCCTCAATTGAGTCAATAAATTAAATGCAACTAACCAGTATTTCAGTTGGATTTTTTAAGGACTTGAACTTAACTCTAAAAATTACATGGCTCTTTCTCAATGGTAGATCATTAAATAAAGTGTGAAATATTCATACAGTGAAAAGGAAATAAAGAAATGAGAACAAAGTATAGCTACATATAGTAACACTGATAAATCTTCAAAACATGATTCCGGATTCTGAAGTCTGGGTCCTGTGTGACTATATTTGCGTAAAGTTTAACACAACCAAGGCTGCTATATTGTTCAGGTATTCAAATGAAGTGGCAGAAATTATAAAGACAGGCAAGGAAGAAATAAAGTAGTCACGCAAGTGGTTATTTCTAGAGTAAGGGAAGGGGTTGAGGTTTAAAAGAGGCACATATCACAGAATTATTCACAGCTGCCAAAAAGTGAAACTACCCCCATATCCATCAACAAACTAATGAGTAAACAAGATGCATGTCCGTGCATTGGACTGTCATTCGGTCCTAAAGGAATGGAGTTCTGGGACGGGCTACAACCTGGATGGATCTGGAAACATTACACCGAGTGAAAGAGACTGGACCGAAAAATACCTGTTACGAGATTCTTTTTATGTGAAATACCCAGGATAGGCAAATCCATAGAGAGAAAAATCAATGAGTACTTGCCCAGGGGCGAGGGGAGGCGGAATGGAGAGTGACTATTAATGCATGCAGACATTCTTCTGGGCTGAGGAAAAACACTGGGACTAAAGAGAGGTGGCCATTGTCCAACACCAGGACGCACCGTGCTCCGGAGCCATTCACTGCTAGTGGGCAGTTACGTGTAAGGTGAGTTCCGTGTCTCTTCTTCTGTACAAGAGTCACACAGAGAGTCCAGGGCCTTCCATCCCGTGACTTGGATGGAGGTTGCAGGGTGCACTGCTGCGTGCTGCAGTGCGCTTCTGCGTGTTATGGCACAATTTTAAAAGTTTAGACATGTTGTGGAAGAAAAAGTAGCACATATAGCTAACCCAAGTTTGAATGTGAAGAATGAAGGCAGAGAACTTGCCCAACCAGATATTTGAAAATCTACAAAGTAGCTGTAAGAAAAAGATTGAAATTTCTCAGAACAGACACATGGCCTAAGGCAACAGAATAAAAACCTCAGAGACGGACTCGTGTCTGTGGGAATTTAATACATATTTAAGGAGGCTCTGCTCATCACTGGGGAGACGCATACTCTTTGATACTCTTTGCAGTGACAAAACTTTGTCCCTGCCTGACCCTTATACAAGGTGGACCTCAGATGGACAAAAGACTTCAGTGTGCAGGACGAAGCTACACAATTAAGGGAAGGGAATGTCAAAGAATATTTTTGAGACAGGAGTATAAGTCATATCAATTTGATCATATTACAATAAGGACTTTTTAACCAAGAGTACCGTGGACAAAGTTGACAGTTGACAGATTAGAGAAGCTCATTAGAAATGTTGATAATGAACAGGAGAAGGACGGAAAATCTACAAGAAAAAGGAGCCCCAACAGAACTGTGGAGAAAAAATACTGACAGGCAATGTATAGGAAGGGCAATTCAAACAAATGTGAGTGTGAACAGGCATAACACCCAGTGGCACTGGGGAAGTGCAACTCACACCCACGAGACTGGCAAAAGTCGGAAAGCTTTGTAACGCCAAGCGCTGGAGAGGGGACGGATATGCAGGAGCCCTCACTCGCTTCTGGTGGAGTGTGGGCTGGTGCGTCTGTTCCGAAGGGCGGTTTGGCAATATTTAATACAATTAAGCACATTGTGCTCTGTGACCCAGCAATGATGTTCCTCGGGTCTATCTAAACCATCCTCGTGCGAGGTCACAGGTACCATGTGTGAGACATTGACTGCAGTGCTGATCCTGCAGCGGGCAGGATCGTCTGAAGCGCTTCGTCTGAAGCGGGCAGACAGGTAGGCGGGGGCGGGCACTGCTGCAGAGCCCCACCCAGCAGCGAGAAGCAGTGGACGCGCTGGACACGCGGAGACACTGACGAGCCTTCAGAACGTGCTGCGTGGAGGCCGGAGACCCCAGATGAGGCCGAGAGAACAGGACCTGGGTGTACTCTGCAACGCAGCTGTAATTTCATAATTTGTCTTCTTTCCCTTCTGCCAACTATGGGTTTTGATTATGCTACTCAACTTATTTTTATAGTTTTCTATCCAATTCTTCTGTAACCATAACTTTAAAAGCTGCCCCTGGATTTGTACTTCTTACAGTGGGTCAACTAGAGTCCCAAACTATCTCCCAGCACAAAATGCCCAGGAATGCTGAGCAAAATGCAACAAACATCTTTCTGTGATCACAGAGGAGCTCATGGGAAAGGAAGAAAAGCCCAGAACAAAGAGAGAATTGAAGTCAAGAGAGCTTCACTGGCACCGACAGTGCCCTGACCACACAGGTTCTCAAAGACCTAAATGCCCAGGGAGGACAGGAGAAAGGCCTCGGGCTGATGAGTGGTAAAGAGTTAGCCCTCCGTGCAGAACTTGGTTTCCCAAAAGGCTGTCACCTCCCTGAAAAGGTAGACTAGGGAAAAAAGTCCGCCCACCGGCAGGAGAAACAACGGCAGAAAGAAAAATTGTAAGTGCCTCAACCTGAGTTTCAGAAAGAGGAAAAAAGTCTCCTCTGGGAATTGATAAGGGCAGGCTTGCCTTCCTTGTATGTTTGGGTTTTTAATTTACCTTATACGGGCAGAGAAAACCCCATGGGGAGAATGGACATGAGCTCATCCAAAATTCGTTACACACTGACCTAGCAGGGTAACAGCAAATTCTCTCTGGAGAAACGCCCTCAGACCAAGGTTCTGCAAGGTTCCCATTAACAAACGCCTGCTCACCATGAGCCCCCCCCCAACCCAAATTAGAAAACACAAAGGAATCAAACCACCTTGAGCAAGAAACAGCAGAATTAATACCCTAAACTTCAGAAAATTAAAGTATTAGATAACCAAATACAAAACAAGCATTTAAAGAAATAAAAGTGGAACTGAAAATATTAATACAGTTCTATTAAAAAAAAGGAACAGATTTGAAAACTCAAACTCCTAGAAATAAAATATGTACTTATTGAATTGTAAAACTCAGTAACTGCTAAAATAGCAGATTAAACACAGTTGAAGGGGAAAAAAATTAGTAATCTGAAAGAGAAAACTGAAGAAATTGCCCAGAAAGCACAAAACACAAAGTGGGAAGGAGAAAAGGCATGACAGATGCGAAAGAATGAAAATCAAAAGACATTTCAGTGGTGTTCCAAAAGAAAAGAGACAGGAAGCAGTATTTCAAGGAGAGTGCTGAGAATTTTAGTTGTTGAAATAGCAGGAACCATCAAAGTCAGGAATCCCAGTGAATCTCAAGCAGAAATAATTCAAACCTTCACGCAAAGTTACGACATAATGAAAGATCTAAACATCAAAGACACGAAGACGATTTCGAAAGCCTCTGGGAGTAAAGATTACCCGGACTGACAAGTCAATACAGTTACACTGACAACAGACAACTCAGTAACAACAACGCAGCCCCAAGGCAAAGGAGAAAAATTTTCAAAGTTCTAAGGACAGGGTAAAACCATGAGCAAAGTAAAGATGCTACTGTCCCTAGAGAAAGACTGAAAGGTGTACTCGAGGGGAAAGGGAGGGAGACACAGTTAGCAGAGACCCTGACGGGCACATGGGCAAAACGGAAGCGTCAGCTCCTCTGACTTGAGCCGGACAGCACTGGCTGATTATTACAGAATAATTATGAATATAGGAGGTGAGACAGGACAAAACTAAAATATTGGAGCACAGTTTGGGAGTAAATCTAGCTATGGACTTTAAATTGTTCAGAAAAGTGGGGATGTTGATTTTCTTTAGACCTGAAGTTGTATCCACGTTAAAATTTTGAGGGCAATTATTCAAAGCATCAAAGTAGAAGATACAACTTCCTAACTAGTAAAGAAAATGATATAAGAAGAAATTTTAATATTTTTCTAATGGCAGATAAAGTGACAGTTGGAAAACTGTTCATCTTTATCCCACCACCATTTTTTTTTTTAATTTGGTTACTTTTCAAGTACATTTTTTTTTCCTTCCCCCCCCCCCGCCCGGTCTCCCCCCTCCCTCCCATTCCCCCCCCCCCCCCAGTCCTCATCTCTGTGTCATTCATACTTGTTCCTCAAAATCCCTCCCCCTTTTTCCCCTTAAGTTCCCTTCCCTCTCCCCTCTGGTCACTGCCCACTTGTTCTCTATTTCAGCGTCTTTGTTTTTATTCTGTTTGCTTGTTTGTTTTATTCTTTAGCTTCCTGTCAAAGGTGAGATCATATGGTATTTGTCCTTCACTGCCTGGCCTATTTCACTCAGCATAATGCTTTCCAGTTCCATCCATGTTGTTGCAAAAGGTAGTAGCTCCTTCTTTCTCTCTGCTGCATAAAATTCCATGGTGTATATGTACCACAATTTTTGGATCCATTCATTTACTGATGGGCACCTAGGTTGCTTCCAACTCTTGGCTATTGTAAATTGTGCTTCTATGAACATTGTGGTGCATAGGTTCTTTGAAATTGATGTTTTAGGATTCTTGGGGTATAATCCTAGCAGTGGAATTGCTGGGTCAAAAGGCAGGTCCCACCACCATTTTTAAACAATCATCCTTTTACTGTATAACAACATGTAGACATACTTAAGACATTTCTGCCCGGAATGATCTCATGCCCTACGATCACCACTTCCTCAGAGTACGTCTGTGCCCTTGCCCTGCCTCTTCACCTCCTCCCCGAGAGACCATCAGACCATCGTGGGGCTGAGCATAGACCAGGAAACGCAGCCCGACGGTGCCCCACCGCCCCTCCCCCGCCGGCTCTACAAGGACACACCTCGGCCCCCAGGCCAGCGGCAGGGTGCCCAGGGAGCCCCTGAGAAGCAAGCAGTACCTGTGGCATGAGGCAGGACCACATTCGGGTTCTTCCTCCTACTATAAAAATAATACCTTTGGAAAATAAAGGAAAATAAAAGACAACAATGAAAACCCCGCATTAACCCCCATTAATTCTGCCACCCCAGGATTAGCCACTATTATCACATGGGTTTATTCCTGTGGACATTTTCCTAGGTACAGAGTTGCAGTGTATATGCTGTTGCATCCTGTGCCTTTTAGTTGCCATCAGAAAAGTGAGCATTTTTTTTTGCCTTATTTAAATGTTCTTCAGGAACATACTTTTCGTGCATACGTAACGCCGAATTGTTCTTCGATCGATGCACTGGACCGTGTCCTTGCGTCTCCGTAAGTGCTCTTCCACCCGCCAGCGGTGCTGTGCTGTTCGGCCTGAGTGCACACTCCCCTCGCAGCAGGGGCTCCGTGAAATGGGTCGTGAAACATCCTGTGAAGGGGATTTTTGCATTTTAAAGGCCTCTGCTGCTCCATTTACATTTAGATGAATGAAGTTGGTCCCAGTTCTGAAATGAATATTCAACTGTTGCCAGGGACCCACCTTCGCTTTGACCCGTGTCACAGGGCTCTCTCCCTTCTACCCAGCCCCAGTGGTCTGTGCCTCTGGGAGGGAGTCGCATCTTTGCCAGAGGAAAGATTGTAAGCACTGTGCCGCCGTGATGGGTGTATGGTGCGGGCAATGAGGCCAAGGTCATGCACGCCATCCCTGCCCCCTCCTGCAACTGTGCACTGAGCAAAGCATGCTTACTGGTCATACGTGTCTCCTCTGGCCCTCAGTGCCTGAAGTTGGCTGGGCGATAGGGCTGAGCCATTTGGCAGAAACCCACCAGAGGGCACGTCTGGCTGCCGTAGCAGGTCAGTTATTCTGTCTGTGCCAAGGCGGCCTGGGCTTTCTATACTCCGATAAAGCTATCACCCCCTCACCCATCTGTGTTTCCTGGCAGATTTTTGTTCAACGGTGCCTGGCAGGGAAGAACATGTCTCACGTGAAGAGCAGCTGTATCCTGTGTGGGTACCTGAAGCTGCTGCCCATGTTCACTGTTGTGATGCCCGGGATGATCAGCCGCATCCTGTACACAGGTAGGTTCTTGATTCGGACATGTTCACCCCAGTCAGCTTCTGTCTCAGAGATCTAGGTAGGTCTCCTACTGTGTACTGGTGCCACGGTGCCCAGCTTGCTGTCTGGGGAGGTAACAGGTTTGAAGTAGGGATGCAACTGAGCAGAAGTCTGACAGGGACCATGGAGGTAGGTGGCGAGAGAGAAATTGCGGAGAGAGAAGTTCAGGCAGGGACAAGCCAGCCAGCACTCCCTGCAGCCAGGGCCCAGTCTGTCGTGGCAGGAAGTCTGCATGCCTCCCCTTGTATGCCAGGCAGCACCCTGGCGGGCCCGTGTGCCAGGTGCTGCACTGGGGATATGACAGATGTGTCCCTGCTCTAACAGCCCCAGAGGTGGCCTTGCGTGGCCTCATTGCACAGATGAGGTATGTAGGAGGTGGAGCTCCACGTAACCCCCAAAGTAGGTCTGACTCAAAGGCCCACATTCTTTCCATTAAATGCTATGAAAAACATCCCCTTTTCCCTAAATGAGCTATCATAATTCTGTGGATCTATCTCATTCCCTAGTTTTACTAGTTGTACTGTCCCCCAGAGCCCCCGATTTGTTTATCCAAACAGCCTTTATGGAGCATGCGCTCTGCCAGGTGCAGCACTGGGACAGAGCCAGCGACCTCCTTGCGAGCCTCCTGCTGCAGTGCCGTGACCAGGCGGGCAGAGTGTGACGCCTCTTCCTGCTCAGAGCTGCAGGACATCTCCGACCCTAAGTCCTCTTTCAGTCTGCCCGGACATGTCCATCTCTTTTTAATCCTATCTCCTTTCCAGTTATTTTTAAAGACTTTATCTACTTATTTTTAGATAGAGGGGAAGGGAGAGAGAAAGAAAGTGATAGAAACATCAGTGTGTGGTTGCCTCTCACGCAGCCCCTACCGGGGGACCTGGCCGGCAACCCAGGCTTGTGCCCTGACTGGGAATCAAACTGGTGACCCTTTGGTTTGCAGGCCAGTGCTCAGTCCACTGAGCCACACCAGCCAGGGCTTCTTTCCAGTTTTAACAGAAAAGGAGTGTTCTGTTCCAACATTTACGTTTGGTCTTTGGCTGTCGGGCAGCGCTCTTTGGGGTCTCAGAAGTGGTACCTCCTCATCGAATAGAAAATAGGCCCCTGTGTTCTCCAGGACCCAGGTTGCTTGGGGCTCCATGGTCCTGCCTCCCTGCCCCCACTCCATACTGTGGACCACTCTGCTCACTGAAGAACAAGACTGGGCAGAACTGCATGTATTTTAGACTCTAAAAGCTGCTAAGGGAGGGAGGAAAATGGAGTGGGGCAGAGCTCTTCCCCATAGCTGGAGTGGGCCCCTGGGAACCCAAACCAGCCTTCTGACATGAAATGAATAGAGTTGATGGGATGCACTGGGGAGCGCCCTGGGGTGGAAAAGGGCCCAGAACCACTTGTCCCTGATCCTCAGAAATGGCCACATTCACAGATCCACTTATACATGCCAAGTGTATAAAGCCAGAAAGCCATTTATCGTGAAAGCTTGGCACTCGCCCACGTTCCTGGAAGAAGATGCTTTTCCAGTAACCCGAATGCTTCTGGCCCCAGGTCCTGGGTCTCTCCCGTGGCCAGAGCTGGGGGCCAAACACTGCCAAGGTGTGATTCTCTAAATCTAGTTTTCTGTGTAGGCCTCCATATGACTTGGGATTTTGTTTGAAAATGATGTACACTTTTGGCTCCTCTGTCTTCTGAGCTGGTGTCATGCGCAGGACATCAGGTGGCAAGATTGTCACCAGCAGCAGCAGGCCTCTATCCCACCAGCTCAGCAACCCCCATAGAAAGAGTATTTCCCTCCCCAGCACTTCCCAGAAAAATCCCACGTGAGTCCTAGCAAACTCACTTGAGTGATAAGGACTCATCCTTGTGATCAAGGAGAAGGAATTTCCAGAAAGACCAGGCCTGGCTCCTGGGCCCCTCATAAACCAGGGCAAGTCAGACCGAGGTTCTATTTCCCAAAGCAGGAGGAATGGAGGGTGGGCAGGTGAAAAAGGAGGGTCACTGTAGCCACCTCCTTGAGTTTTCATAGCCTTTCTCCAGATGTTTGGTGACCACTTCTCAAGCTAGGTAGCTGTTTCTAAGAAAATAGCTTGCTTTACCCAGAAACCTAGGCAATATCTTGCCTCTTTCCAGTCTGTGTTGAATTGTTGTTTTTTCTTTTTTTTTAAGTATATTTTATGCTATTACAGTTTTCCCAACTTTTCCCCCTTCCACCCTCCACCCCTCAACCCTCCAGCATTCCCCCCTTCGTTCATGTCCATGGGTCGTACATGTCCGTTCTTTGGCTTCTCTGTTTTCCATACTATTCTTAACCTTTCCCCGTCTATTTTATGCCTACCAATTATGCTTCTTATTCCCTTTACATTTCCCGCTCCCTGCCCTGTTCTTCCCCTTCTCCTCCCCACCAAAAACCCTTCATGTGATCTCCATTTCTCTGATTCTGTTCCTGTTCTAGTGGTTTGCTTATCATTTGTTTTCAGGGGTTTTTTTTTAGGTTCAGTTGTTGATAGTTGTGAGTTTGGTATCATTTTACTATTCATAGTTTTTGATCTTCTTCTATTTCTTAGATAAGTCCCTTTAACCTTTCATATAATAGGGTCTTGGTGATGATTAATTCCTTTAACGAGACCTTGTCTGGGAAGCACTTTATGTTGTTTTTCTCATATAGTAACTTTATAGCCTTTATTTAAGCTCCTGAAGGGTATATCACATTTCCTCCCTTTACTTCCTTTTATCTAAAATTTCTTCCCAAAAATTCTAAAATAGCACCTGTATCAGGGCTAAGGTAGTAAGGTTATGAGTTGTTCCCGAGTCAGCATGTGAATAAATAACCTGTTTGTTTTCCCAACAAGTAGCTGGGATCATTAAAAGGTTGGTCAAGGCCATGGGGCTTGCTTTGGGTCAAGCAGTGAATTGGCAGAAGTATCAACTCACTGAACTCCTCAGTGCCTAACTCTGCTTTTGTGTCTACCCCAAGCTCCTCAAGTGTGTAGAGGGTCACGGATTGGAGCAGCTGCCAATAGGCTGAGAACCTATCGAATTAGGAACCTACAGCACCTATTTGCATCCCTTTCCCTGAGCTCAGACTTCAGAACTCCAAGGCCAATGTGTCGGTGTGACTGTATCCTTTTTTGCAGACAAAGTGGCATGCATCACACCTTCTGAGTGTGAAAAGCACTGTGGCGCCAGAACCACTTGCAGCCCCATCGCCTACCCAGCGCTGATCGTAGGGCTGCTGCCCAAAGGTAAGAAACGGGCCCCACCATCAAAGGCCGTGGAAACCCCAGATCTCTGTCCCCATTGACACCTGTGCCCCCAGGCTGTGAAGGCTTATCCACCAGTCTGCCCACCCTTCTGGGTAGAAATGTAGGCTGTCAAGTGAGAGAGTTAGTTGCATAAAGGAAATCTTTCGTGACCTGAAGGAAGGAGCTGGACCTCCTCCCTCTTCATTCTTCATACACTCACACTCTGTGCTTAGGATTTGCGTAGTCCACTTCCCTGGCTTAGCTCACGCCTTGGTGCTTTCATTCCACAGGCGGACTCCACACTGTGCTAGACAGATTCCTAAGCCATAAGAATGCAGAGACGGGAGAAACCTAGTCCTATTCTCAAAGAGCTCACAGCTGCTGGATGGGCAAGGAGACGGGCAGTTCCCCCACAGGGAGGTGGCTTTCACTGCGAGATAACAGTGAGCCTGTTCACGCATCTCACCTGCACCTCAAAGCCCCATGGAAATGCCCGCCATAGTACATTGTTTTTCATTTCCATATTAGCTCTGCAGATCAGTAGGCTGGAAAAGTTGAGACTTTTCTGTGAAATACAATACAGAGCGAATCTGTATTGTGAGGGAAATGCTACCCATCCCACAGTTCAGGAAGGAAGTCATCCAGGTTTCCATCTGAGCCCGTCTTCAAGGGCCATGGGTAAGAGTGGGCTGTCAGGCACCTGAAGGAAGGCAAATCCTTGGACAGTAGTATTTGCCTGGCCTGAGCATCCCGAGTAGGCCAGTAAATATCGAGGGGGCCTTGCTGCAGGAGACCTTGAGTTCAGGGCCTGGTCACCCTCAGGCTCTCCCAACAGAGCAGAGCCCCTGCCACATGATAATAATACTAGATTGTCATGCTCATAGCTAATATTTATTTAGTGCTTGCTCTGTATTGGGAATTGTGTTAACCCATCTACTTCATTTGTCTGAATCTTAACAACAGCCTGTGGTGAGTACTTTTATGCCCAGTTTACAGATGAGGACACTGAGGCCCAAGGAACAGCATCACTTGCCTACAGCCTGCACTTTATCTGAGCCTCTGGCTCCTCGTCTGTAAAGTGGTAAGGGAGGGGTCACTGGTTTCCCTCTCCCAGGGCTGAAGGGCTGACTGGGCAGGCTAGTGCCTTAGGGAATGTTCTGGCACAAAGTAACACTCAGGAGACATTAACTCCCATTGTTATAGAAAGACATAGCAGGAAACTAGTAAGTCTGGTCACAAAGCAAGGACAAATATAATGCTTTAATATATCTTAGATGGAATCTCACTCCAAATTAAACTTGCATTTTCTAGGAGAAAATTTAGTAGATAGAAAAGTTTCTTAGGAGTCCTCAGGCATCTTCTAATGTGGACAAAGAGCTGGAGGTCCAGGAAATGTCCCTTCTCTTCCAGGTGCACGAGGCTTGATGCTGTCCACACTATGGGCCTCTCTCATGTCCTCCCTGACTTCTATCTTCAACAGTGCCAGCGCTCTGTTCACACTGGACATCTATACCCAGATACGGCCTATGGCCACAGAGAAGGAGCTCATGGTAACAGGAAGGTGAAGGATTCCTCTGATCACATTAGTTACTGCTGTCAATGAAACGATGGCCATAGTGTTATCACATGAAAAATTTAGGCTGTAATACTGTAAATGGAATCATCCTGTTTACATACAGTGTGGCTACAGTTGTCACCACCACTTTGCAATGAAGATGCATTGCTTTCATAATCACATAGGAAATTATTTTCATTAGGGAAAAAATTAAGTAATTGCAGCAATAAAAATGAGCATAGTTTACTGTACCCCCAATAGTCCTTGTTATCACATTTTGTCCTCATGACAGCCTAAAAGGTAAGTTTTACTGTTCTTATTCTCTTTGGAAGTGTGGGGGGAAAGTGGCTGAGAGAAGGGAATTGGTCCACCTGAGGTCACACAGTAAGTGGGAGAGTTCGTCTGCCCAGGGCCATGCTGTTAACCATGTGCCACACAGCACCGTGGAGGCCCCAGAGCAGGGATCACAAATGTGTGTGAAACGTGGTCCCCGTCTGTGTTCCGTACGTCGGCTGCCCTTGGACCTCGTCCAGCATGCCCACGTTCAGTGTGGCCCGCATCATGTCTGTGGGCTTCCTTTATCTTGCATCAGGGAGCACATCTCATCTATTTTATCTCTTTAAACCCTGCTTTTGAGGTTGAACAGTACTTTTCTGAGAACTTTAAAAAAACAAGTACTGCTTTTACTTAAATTTTTATGACAGAAAAGGACAACTTAAATTGAGATCTTTTCTAAGATCTAGAGTTTTATGAAACTCAAGGTATTAATGCCAAAACGTAACAAGCATAGCACAGAAAAGCAATTTAAACTAAAGATTAATCTCACTTCTAAATACCAATGCAAAAGTTATAAATAAAATAATAGACACAAATTCAACAATACATTAAAAGAATGTTAAAATAATATCTCATTACCAACTGTGATTTTTTCCAAAAGTATAAGGATGGTTTAATATTAGGAAATGTAATATAACTCAACATATCAATAAATCAAAAGAGGAAAGTCATGTCTCTATTCATAGGTGATGAAAAGGTATTTTTGGTAAAGTGGGTGTCTTTCAACATGACAAAATGTAATATATCATCTAAAAGCTTACATTATACTTAATGAATAAACTAGAAAGGAACAAGGCAAGAATGCCCCTTTACCATTATATTTATACTAATATATATGTTTAAAACTGTATTTGCTAAAAGTAAACCCTCAGGTGAGGTTAGAAGACAAGGACTTTAAAAGAACCATGATTAATATGTGTAAGAAAAGGGAAAGATATACAAAAATTAACGAAAAATTTGAGAACTTCACAAGCGAATTATGGTTTATAAAAGGATTTTAAAGACGTTTAGAATTGGAAAGCAGATATCTGAAGTTAAGAGCTCAGTGGGCAGGTTACAAATGGTTGGGCATGGCAGCAGGCACAGTGGGTGGGTCGGAGGTGGGGCCGCGGCCAACGCCACACTGAAACGCAGGGAGAAGAGTTAGGGGCACAGGTGGACCACAGCTGGAGTCACAGGAAGAGAGGAGCATTCGGGCAGAAGAACAGTCCGAAGAAATGGGAATGTTCAAGAATTTTCCAAAGCTGATTTACAACTATTCAGAGATTTGAGAAGTTCAACAAATTGCAAGCAGGGTAAATACAAAAGAAACCATACCTAGACAACTTTATAGTAAAACTGCTGAAAATTAAGGATAAAGAGAAAATCTTTAAGTAGCCAGAGGAAACTAAATTACATTGCCTTCAAAAGAGTAGCAAAGAGACAGCAAAATTTTCAATAGAAATTATACAAGCCACAAGACAACAAAATGGCATATTCAAGTGCTAGTAAAAAAAAACATGCCAATCTAGAGTTCATTACCCATCAAAAATAGTCTCCAGAAGAAAGGTGAAATAAATATATTTTCATAGAAATGCCAGTTGAGAGAACTTACTACATTAGACTTTCCTGGTAAGAAATACCAAAGCAAGTCCTTCAGGCTGAAGGAAAACAACCCACATAGAAGAATTGAACTTCAGGGAAAAAATAAAGGGCCTCAGAAAGGGTAAATGTGTGGGAACTATAAATGAGGATGGTCCGTTGAGACATCAAATAAGAAAAAATGTCTATGGGATTTATAACATGGAAGAAAAGTATATGATAATAGTAGGTAAAATGAGAAGAAACTAACTGGAACTTGTGAGCTCGCTCCAGGGTCATCTGGGATGTAGTAAAGGTGGACCTTGTACTATGATACGCCCAGGCTGCAAGTGATATCTACAGCAGGACTTGTCCAGGTTGTGTGCAGCCTCTAGGCTAAGCAATAAAAGTTCAAGAATGTTTAACTAACCAGCCAATAGAAGGAAAATGTGGAATAACTAATAAAATACTTGATTATCACAAAAGATCTTTAAAAGGGGATAAGGACATAAAAGGTGTGTTAAATAGAAGACAAATAATGCGATGGCACATATAAACCCCAATATATCAGTAATTCCATGAAATGTAAGTGGACTAAATACCTGAGTTAAAAGGTTAAGTTTATCAGGCTATTTTTTAAAAGTGACTATATGCTGCTTAGGAAGAGACACAGTTTTTACAATTTTATTGGAATATAGTTGACATGTAACGTTATATGAATTTAAGGTATACAACATGATTTTATGTATGTTTATGTTGTGAAATAATTATATAAGAAGTTTAGTTTATACTGATCGCCTCATATAACTTTTTTCTTTTTTCATTTTTGTTAAAGATTTTATTTATTTATTTTTAGAGAAGGGAAGGGAGGGAGAAAGAGAAGGAGGAAAACATCAGTGTGTGGTTGTCTCTCATGCACCCCCGACTGGGAACCTGGCCTACAACCCAGGCATGTGCCCTGACTGGGAATTGAACCAGCAACCCTTTGGTTAATAAGCCAGCACTCAGTCCACTGAGCCACACCAGCCAGGGCTACAACTTCTTCCTTGAGATAAGAACTTTTAAGAGCTACTCTTTTAGCAATTTTTTATTATATAATATAGTATTGTTAACAGTACTTAATATGCTGTACATTATTTTCCCAGAACTTACTTATCTTATAACTGAAAGTCTGTACCTTTGGACTATCTTTGTATATTTCCCTTACCTGAACTCCAGATATCTCTTCAAAATAGTGATTGTTAGGCCCTGGCCAGGTAGCTCAGTTGGTTAGAGCACTGTCCCAATATGCCAAGGCTGTGGGTTCAGTCCCCTGTGACGGCACATACAGGAAACGACCAATGAATGCATACCTAAATGAAACAACAAATCAGTGTTTCTCTCTCTCTCTCCTCCCTCCCTCTCTCTCTCAAATCAATACATTAAAAAAATTAAAGATAGTGATTATTTCCTTCAGATATATCCCAGAAGTGGAATTGCTGGATCATATGATAATTCTAGTTTCACTTTTTTGATTAGTGATATTGAGCATTCTTTCATGTACCAATTAGCCATCTTCTTCGGAAAAATGTCTATCGGGTCCTTTCCCATTTGAATTGGATGAGTTGGGTTTTGGCTATTTAATTGTATGAGTTCCTTATAATTTTGGGTATTAACCCCTTTTCAGCTGTGTTCTTATTTGCAAATATTTTCTCCCTTTCTATAGGCAGCCTTTTCACTTTGTTGATTGTTTCCTTTTCTGTACAAAGCCTTTTTACTTTGGTGTAATCAAAGTAAAGGATTACACTCATTCGTTATTGCTTTTGTTTACTTGTGCTCTTGGTGTTATATCAAAAAAAGAATTGTCAAAACCAATGTGAAGCATTTTTTTCTCTATATTTTCTTCTGGGGGGCCTACAGTTTTGTGTTTTATATTTAAGTCTTCAATCTATTTTAAGTTGGTTTTTGTGACTATTGTAAGATAGAAGTCCAGCCCTGGCTGGTGTAGCTCAATGGACTGAGCTCAGGCCTGCAAATCAAAGTATCTCGGGTTTGATTCCCCGTCGGGGCACACCCCTGGGTTGCAGGCCATATGCCCAATATGGGTGTGTGAGAGGCAACCACACACTGAAGTTTCACTCTCTCTCTTTCTCCCTCCCTTCCCTATCTCTCTAAAAATAAATAAATAAAAATTTTTTAAAGATAGAGGTCCAGTTTCCTTCCTTTGCCTGTCAACACCCAATTTCCCAGCACCATTTATTGTAGAGAAATTCTTTTCTCCATTAGGTATTCTGGACTCTCTTTTCACATATCAGTTGACTGTACATGAACGGGTTTGTGTCTGGGCTTTCAGTTCTGTTCCATTGGTGTGTGTGTGTCTGCTTTTGCGCCAGTACCACACTGTTCTGATTAACTTTTGTTCATCTTTTATCTTTTGTTATTGTTGTCATATATTTTTATATCTACAAACATAATGTACCCCACAGTACAGTTATAGTGATATGTTAGTTGCCTTTTAAAGAAATTAAAAGAAGAAAATAAATATATACATAGTATTTTATATAACCCATATATTTTATGTTTTCTGTCTGTTTGTATCCAAAAATGTTTTTATTCGACCTTTATTTTTGAAGGATATTTGTGGTGGATACAGGATTCTGAGTTGACGGTATGTTCACCACTTTAAAGCTGCTCTCCCAGTCTCGTCTGTCCTTTCGTTTCTGATGAGAAGTCAGTCATATTCATAGTACTTCTCTCTGTACTTAAGGTGCCTTTTCTCCCTGTGGCTCTCAGGACCTTTTTCTTCATTTCTGGTTCTGAGTTGTTTTGTCACGACCTGCCTAAGAGTGTGTGCGCCACGTGTGTGTGCTCATCCTGACGGTCATGCCGGGCTTCCTTTCTTTGCATGTTTTTCTGCACTATCTCTCCTCTTTCGGGGGAATTCTACACACATATTGGCTCTTTTCTTTTTAAAGATGTTATTTATTTATCGTTAGAGGGGAAGGGAAAGAGAGAAGGAGAGAAACATCAATGTATGGTTGCCTCTCGTGCGTCCCCTGCTGGGAACTGGCCTGCAACCCAGGCATGTGCCCTGACTGGGAGTAGAACCGTGATCATTTGGTTCACAGGCCAGTGCTCAATCCACTGAGTTACACCAGCCAGGGCCACATTAGCTCTTTTGATAATGTGCCACAGGTCCCTGAAGCTCTGTTTATTTTTTTTATTTTCTCTGTGTTCTTCCGATTAGTTTTCTATCAGTCTGCCTTTAGTTAGGTTCAGTGGACCTTCCTTCTATGATTTCCAGTGTGGTTGGAAATGTGGAAATGTGGATTTCCAGTGGTTGGCTTCTAAGGCCAACCACTGAAATTTTCTTTTCCTTTTTTTTTTTTTAAGATTTTATTTACTTACTTTATAGAGGCAGGGAGGGAAGGAGAAAGAGAGGGAGAGAAACATTGATATGTGAGAGTTACATCAATTGGTTGCCTCTCACACATCCCCAACCAGGGACCTGGCCCTCAACCCAGGCATGTGCCTGACTGGGAACCCAACTAGTGACCTTTTGGTCCATAGGCCAGTGCTCAATCCACTGAGCCCCACCAGCCAGGGCAAATTTTTTATATCGTATATTGAACTGGAATTTTAATTCTGGAATTTCTATTTGATTTCTTTTTAAAGTTTTTATAGTTATAATTTTGCATAGACTTATTCTTCATCATCATTTCCTTTATATCCTATAATGTAGATTTAATAGCTGCTTTGAAGTCCTCATCTGCTCACTTTAATACCTGGGCCATCTTGGGGTCAGTTTCAATTGATTACTTTCCTTCTTGACTATGGATCACGTTTTCTTGTTTCTTCGCCTTACTTATACATTTTACTGTATATTGAACATTGTAGATAATCTATCATAAAGACTCTATCATGTTCCTCTGGAGAGCACTGGCTTTTGTTCAAGCGTACAGGTGGATCACTAGCTGATGGAAAAACTCATGGAGCCTGGTTTTACACTTTGTTAGGGTGTCTGTTTTGGTTTTGCTCTAGTCTTATGGCAAATTCTTAGCTCTAGGATATAATGTCCCAGACGGGGTCCAACCTTTTGGCATCTGTGGGCCACACTGGAAGAAGAAGAATTGTCTTGGGCTACACGTGAAATACAGTGTGACATGTAATCACAAAAAAATCTCATAATGTTTTAACTAAATTTATGATTTTGATTTGGGCCACATTCATAGCCATCCTGAGCTGCATGCAGCCTACGAACCACAGGTTGGACACCCCTGGCTGAAGCATGGTCCTTTAGGGGTTTCAGTGAAAATCCTGAGGTGCTTAGATAGCCATTCTAACTCAGTGAGTCTCAAACTTCAAATTCTGTCTCCCCGCTGTAGGCAGGAGCTGGCTCTTTTCATTTTCTGCCTTCCAACGGTTGCTTACTGGTGGACTGTTTGGAGACTTTTTTCCACGTGCACAATTCAGGGGTCAGCCATGGATTTAGGGGGGTTATGCACAAATTTGGACCTCCTTGCTCTAGGCTCCCAACTTTCTGGAATTCTCCCGAAATATTTTCAACCAGTCTGCATCTTCAACCTCTATCTTTGGACTCCTAAACCCAGTAAGTGAGGCTTTCTGTTTAGCTTCTAACCACCCTGCACCATGCAGACTAGGGAGGGGCTGGGGCAAAATGCTGGGTAAATGTAGGTAGCACCCCATACGGTTCCATTCTTCCAAGGACTGAATCCCAACCCCTCCCCTAATTCCGCCTGTTCTTGGTTGTTCTTCAGTGTTTTTGTTTTGATATTTGACCCTGAAGTTATCATTGTCACCTGTGGAAGGGTGGTTCCCATGACAGCCAGCCCATCAGAACTGGAGCTGGAACTCACTTCTTTGACTCTCCTTCCGCTGTCAAGGTGTTAGGGCTTTATAACATGGTTCACTGTCTGACTCTTTCTCTCAGAAGTATAATGTCTAAGCTTTTATCGACACAGAAGTAATAAGATCTGTTCATCTTTGGGGTGACATTTCACCTAGTGTTATTTTATATGTAGAGACATATTTTTAAATCTCTCACTTCGAAAAGGCGATGAACATTTGGAACCTTGGCTCAGTTCCTTAAAATTTTCAGCAAAATTTAAATAGTAAAATAAGCTTTGGAACTTGTTGAAATCATTAAAATCCTGTGCTATTCTAATCTGTCTGAAATGTGTTTTTGTTTTGTTTTTAGCTCAGGGAGGGTTTGCTTTTATTTTATTCATTCATTCATTCATGTATATATTCCTTTGTTTATTTTATTATTGTTATTCTCTTACAGTTGTCCCAGTTTTTCCCCTCTGCCCTCCTCCGCCCAGCCCACCCCCCACTCCCACAGTCAGTCCCCACACCATTGTCCATGTCCGTGGGTCATTCTTACATGTTTTTTGACTAGTTCCTTCCCCTCCTTCCACCATTCTCCCCCTCCCCCTTCCCCTATGGCAGCTGTCAGTGTCTGAAATGTTTAAAAATGTATTACCTCTCAAGAAACTAATATTTTCCATGTATTATATTTCTTAAGCATGACTACCCCAAACCCACCCTACATACATGGTAAAAATATATCCATGATTCAGCTACAGGCAGACAGACACTGGTTTTTTTTTTTTGTTCAGAACTTGAAAGACTCTTGTCGGCAGCTGTATGGCCCTGTTAGTGTGTAAGAGTACGCCTGTCTCCTTGCCCCACACTTGAGTGTGGGCGCCTGGATTTAACCTAAGGAATAGTTGAGTCACTAGTTTATGGTTTGTAGATATTTTCTTGGCAGGGGAAAGAGTCATCAATTGCCATTGACTGTTGGTTTAATTTACAGGTTTTTCGTAATCATCTTACTTGCTCTCACCACCATCTGGGTGCACGTTGCTCAGACAGCACACAGCGAATGGCTGTTCGACTACATGCAGGCCGTGATGAGTTACCTGGTGCCACCCATTGCCGCCGTCTTCCTGCTTGCCGTATTTTGCAAGCGAGTCACTGAGCAGGTAGGTGGGGGTTGGCATGGCCACCGCAAGGCACAGGGGAAGGGCCTGCCTCCACATCGTAGCTGTCTTTGCCAGAGTTGCCCTGGAAGGGTCTCTGGTGCCTCATTTGCACCACTGCGTCATTTGCTTTCTGAGAGATGATTTCCTCCCAGGAAGTTTCGGGCCATGCTCCCGCTTATGCATATGTAGTAAAGGCAAGCTCTGCTCTGTTTTTCTCACTTTGCAATGTAACCCACGTTCAGCCATGCCAGGGACGAAGCAAAGACGACGCAAAGTGTGTGCGTGATCCTCCCTCACACACATCTGGCTGTAGGGAAATAGTCTTCTACTGCCTCTCTGCTTGGATGTGTCATGCCTAGAGATTCCATAACTCCCAGAGGGATATACAGTCGTGGGCTCCTTCCACCTTCCCTGCAGTGAGGGCCTTCTGTCCCAGCCATGCTTTACATAAAGATCCCAATGAATGGTTTAATCGCGCTTTCATAAGACTTTGAACACACAATTGCCAGAATAGTTTTATTTATTATTTGAGTCATATTTTTACATGTTTCCCCTAACAACGCCAAGTGGCTGGACCTTGTACAAGTTTGTGAGCACAGGGCCCGAAGTGCTCCATAATCTGGCCCCTTCCAACCTCTCAGCCCTTGCCCTCTCCATGCACAGCCCCTGCCCACCCCCCTGCTGACCTGCAGTGCTGATAGCCTAACACTCTGTGCCTTCTGCGGCCTCCCTTTATTTGCATAGACTGTTTGCTTTGTTCTATTATCTCTTTTTCTTCTCCACCCCACTGATGCTTCCCCCAAGGCTCATCTCAAGTGTTCGATCCTCGAGATCACCCTGCTAGTACTCCCTGCTCTACACACCTCTCCAGGACTCAGTTTAGTACCTGTAATGTGTGAAGAGAGTGGCTGGGCTCCAGGGATGCCAGAGCCTCTTCTCTTTGCTGTATCCTGGAAAGAGCACGGGCAAGAGGAGCAGACAGTCAGGAGAATCTGCCTTCCACCTATGATACCAACCTTAAAGTGTTGGGACCTATCGCCAAGGAAAACTGGGGGTCTGGGCAATGGCTCTCCCACTATCGCTGATCCATGGTTAGAAGTATACTGTGGCCACCGTCTCCATCCTAGAGAACTCCAGGCCCTCTCCCCTACCCCGTCTCAGAGGGCATGCTCATCTGGCTTCTGCTGCCCACCCTTTCCTAGATCTCTCCTTCCTACACGTCTCCTTCAGTAAATGGTTCCTGTTGGTCATCCACCTGGCTTTTGGTTTGAGCTCTTTCTCCAAGATATTTGCCCAAATACTGGAACCTCTGTCTCCTCCTCCATCCCCCACTGGTTCAGGGTGAAGTTCTCACTCTTCGAGAGTGTACAGCACAGTTGCAGGAGACAGATGATACCCAGCAAACGGGCAGGGATTTCTGATAGTGACGTAGTGCCGATGGAAAGATGAAAATGGGTCACAGAGGGTGGCAGGGCAGGCTCTGAGGTGGGCTGAGGGGGTGGAGGACATTAGCCAGGGTGGTGGCAGACTTCTAAGAAAATGACCTTGAATTTGAACTCTGAAGGATGAGCTAAAAATATTAAGATCTATGGAGGGAACCAAGCAGAGAGAAGAACAAGTGCAAAGGCCCAAGCCAAAGGCAAAGTGGGCAGTTTCCACATGGAGGAGAAGGTCACACACAGTGGCCAAAGTGGAATGACCAAGGGGAGAGTGGGGGAGCCAGACAGGGTGATTAAAGAGCAGAATTTCAACTTGATTGTGATGGTGAGCCGTGAGAAGCTATTGGAGAGTTTAAGCAGAGGCATGGCCTTCTCCAATACAGGCTTTGAAGAGATCGCTCTGGCTTCCATGGAGACATTGGGAAAGCAGGAGGCCAAAGAGGGAAACAACTTGTGTGAGAAAAGGTGGCAGTCTGGGATTCAGGCACTGGCCATAGGGAGGATGGGGGCGGCCGGATTCCAGATACTCTCTAGAGGTAGAGCCAGCTGGATTTGCTGCTGGGTTGGTGGAAGGAAAAGGGGTGGGAATGATACCTGGGTGTGTAACCTGAGCAACCAGGGAGATGGAGGAGCCCCTGAGAGCAATGAGGAGGACTGGGGTCTTTTGGGGATACACTCCCATTTGACATGGCTGTTTATGATCTAACCTAAAAGGATGTCCAGCGTTTCTGAAGTTCTCTGATTGATGTAAGAGAGAGTGCAAGTACCTCAAGTCTTTGTTCAGCCCAGGAAGGAATCTCCACGCTGGTGTTCGCATAACACTTCTGCGTGGTATTCGAAGTCCTTATTAGGACCAGGTTAACTTCAGAACTCAGTGAGGGAGGGGGGCTGACAGCGGTTTGCCCCATCACCCACCTTCCTCTCAGGTGACTCTCGGGGCTCCTTCTTCGGCAGGGTGCCTTCTGGGGGCTGATTGGTGGACTCCTGACTGGCCTCGTTCGAATGGTGTCCGAGTTTGTCCAGGGACCCCAGACCTGCTCCGTAAGCAGCAAGTGCCCCCCGATCATCTGCAAGGTGCACTACCTCTACTTCGCCACACTGCTCTTCCTAGTCAGCCTCTTCACCATGCTGGGGGTCTCCTTATTCACAGACCCCATCCCCGACAAACACGTAAGTGCGGCTGTTAGGGTGTCTCAGGGCCACCCAACCGTCCCAGTGTCCCAGTGGGCAGTGACTTGGCTCTGCTTGGACGAAAGTGGCTGAATTCCTGCCTTCATTTTGACGATGGGAGGGCTGGGGCCAGGCATAGGGATTGGATCACATATAGGCAGGTAGCACAGAAAGGGGCCTGCCTTAAAAATGAAACTAAATTAAAAACCTTTTCAACAGTCCTCTGCTTATAATGAGAAGTCTGGCTTTTAAAATACAAACTTTCCTTGGAAGTGTTAGGTTCCCTAACCTACGTATGAATTCATGTAATCAGGTCAGTCCCAGCTGCCACCACCCAGAAGGAATTAAGCCAACAGGAAGGGGGAGGGGACAGTTATTGGCAGCGGCCTGTGACCAGTGTGGGGGTGGGTGCCTCTCAGCCTCTCCTGGCAGGGCTATTTCGCACTTCCCAGCGGGCGGGTGTCAGTCACCCCAGTCAGAAAGACTGGGCTCAGAGCAGTTAAGTCCCTTGTCCAAGGTACCAAAATTAGTAAATGACACTCGTGTGCCCCAACCTGCCTCTGCCATACCACCTCCTCCAGCATGGCCAGCAGGCTCTGCAGGACAGGGCCCTGGCGGAGCCAGAAAGCAGCAGGAAGGTCCTGGGTGTCCAAAGCTGCTGCAGGAGCTCAAAGGGAGAAGCATTTGGAATACTTACCTGCCTTTCTCATGCCTTTGCTTGGGGTACAGGTAAAAGTCATGAACTTGGAAGGCAGCTTCAGGGTCCCCAGCTCACCCCTGGGCATTCCCTCTGGCCACACTCGCTGCTAAGTGGTTCCCATGGGATTCCTTCCTTCCCCTCCTGCACCCAGAGCCCAGTTGGAAGAGGGAGAGAGTCTGTGGGTGGACAGCCAAGGGTGCAGGCCCACCACACCTCACCCCTGTATCCATGACATTGGGGGCTTCCCTGCTCTGGCACCTTGAGAAGTTGAGAACGATGGACTTAATTTCCTGTTGCTCAAAGCCTTAATCATTTAGATTGTGTTCTTTTCTACCCTTCTCTTACTCTCAACATTTTGGTTTTATCTCCTGCTCAGACAACCAAGTACTTGTTGAGTGTTTCCCATCTGCCTAGCAGTGGCCAGGTGCTCGGGAGAACACAAAGTAGCCGCTGGCAGGGGCGTGGTGAGGAAGAGAAAGTCCGAGTTTGCGGGTCAACGCCAATGTCCAGGCACTGGGCCAGGCCCACTGCTCACCAAGGAGACGGGACAGCAGGCGAGCCCAGGCTGTGCCAGTGCCCCCCGGACCTCGCCCATGGGGGCTGATGATGTGGTTGGGAAAGCAAATGTGCACACACAGCATCATCAGGAAGCAGGTCAGGGCTAGATCCGGTCTCTGTGGTGAACACAGAGAAAAGTGTTGGAAGTTTAGTTACAACACTAATCCGACAGGTGGGCCTCGGCAGGTCTTGGAGTGCGAGTGCGAGTGTGCGCACGCTGGCTGGGTGGGGCCCACCTCGCTCAGTCACAGCCTGAGGGGGCACTGAGGTTCCTGTGTACCAGGCTAGTTTGATAATGGACCAAAGTCTATTCCAGGATAGGTAGGCTTGGTGGAAATGTTCGCTTATCTGTGCTCTGCTCACCCCCAACCCCTGTGGGGGAAAAACAAAAGCAACAACAATCGGCTGGATTTTGTTACTTCCCACAGTTTCCATATCTGGTTCTAGGAGAACAAAATCACAGACCAGAGGGGAAGGGATGCTCCCCTTCTGCACCAACAAATGCCTTCTTGAGCTCGAGCAACTGAGCTCAGCCACAGGGCCAAGTTAACCAGGTAAACCAGGTAAAGCCTCTTTGGAGCTGAGTTAGTGCTCTTCTCTGGCAGCCAGGAAAGAAATCAGCTCCTGGGTCTGCCCGGTCCCCTTCATCCAGTGAGAGGGCCTCCTCCACCGGAAGGAGTAGACCAGGGGTGACAGGTGGCTACCCCCACCTGAAGGGCACAGGTTCCTGGACCCTCAGAACTGGAAGGAGCCCTGAGCAAGTTGCCTCCCAAACCTTATCATACAGCTGAAGGACACGGAGACCTGGGCAGGCTGTGTCACCCTTTGCCAGGGTCAGGTGACCACATGGTAGCAGAGCCAAACCTGAAACCCAGGTTCCCAAGTGCCATGCTTTCCCCACCCCACACTTCCTTGGTCTCATGTTAGAGTCTAAGGACCAGGTCCCTTTTCATTCCATCAGGACCCCAGTGCCCACCTGCCAGCCATGCCACCAAAGAGGCCTGTGTGATGGGGCCCTGAGTGGTCACATGCCCCTTCTCTCCCCCAGCTCCACCGGCTCTGTTGGAGTTTACGAAATAGCCGAGAGGAAAGGGTAGATCTGGATGCAGAAGTACAAGCAAAGAGACACGCACTACGAACACGGCCAGGTGAGGAGGGGGAGGAGCCAAAGCCCTGGGTGGGGTCCTGTGCTATGGGGTGGGCATGACCTGTGCTGCCGCCCAGCACCCCTGCCCACCTGAAATGCTGTTCCAGGCAGAGGCCCTGTCTTCCATCTTTCTTACCATACCTTCAAGGGTTTGCAGGGCTGTTGAGGCTGCGATGCCTCTCGGACATTCATGGGGAGTGATCTGGGCTGGGGAGACCCACGTGGGAGACATCAGCAGATGCTCTGGGCCACCCCTGAAGTGCAGGGGATCAGGGGAAAGAAGGGGACTGGCATGAAGCAAGGGGACACTCCGGGCCCTGAGGAGGAGCCAGCCAAGGGGCAGAAGAACAGAAGTGTTCCGTGACCTAGAAGCATTGTGGGGGCGGGTAGTCAGTCCCCTGAGGCAAATGCCGATGGGCGGAGAAAGCTTCCTGAGAACTAGCCGCTGGGTTTAGCTGCACAGATCAGGTGCCTGGACACGAGCAGATCAGGTGCCTGGACACGAAGCAGAGTTCGGGAAGGGGGAAGGGGAGGCTTACACAGGGATTCGAAAGGAGAGCGTTCTGGGAAGGGAGGCAGGAGATGGTCTGTGAGGGGGGGAAGCAAGCCCACCTAAGAAGGCACTGGGGGGAAACGGGCCCAAGGACAACCAGATTTTACTCCAACCAAGAAGAGAGGATGTTCCAGGCAGAGGCTCAGGCCCTGCGGGCCTGGCGGCCAGAGGAAGAGTTGCAGCAGATTGGGTCAAAAAGAAGTCTTCAGGGCCCCAGGGAGGGCGGCCTGGGCTGCTCGAGCCCTGACGCAAACAGGATAAAGGCCTAAAGAGATTAGGCCTGAGTCTGGGGCAGAGAGTGGGGGGCGGGGGGTAAGGCTGTGAGTTTGGGGGAGGGAAAAAAAGGGGGGTGAAGAAGCTGCATGAGGAGAAGGCGGTGTTCTAGGGCCTCCTCTCCACTCTTGCCGGGGAAGTTTGGAGCCCAGAGGGGCCTGGGCTCCCTCCAGACCCTTGCAGAGGAGATGCAGGGTTGGGTGGGTTCCTTGGACTTCTGCGGGGCCAGTGCAAGTGGGGGCGGCCTCTCTGAGCAAGGCTGCCTCACACACCTGGAGTATACGGGGCTCCCTGGGAGTGTCTTCTCCAACCGGGGAACTGGTGCACGGGGTGCCAACAGTGTGCCAGGTGCTCGTTCTTGGTGCACCGCTCAGTCCTCTTTGCCCCCAGTCCACTGTCATGGGTGGCTGATGATGATGACAGTGGCTGACATTCATCACTCACTTGGGATGTGCCAGGCACTGTCAGAATTCTCCTCATGTGTGAGAAGTTCAATTGCTATTCTCACTTTAGAAATGGAGACACGGAGGCACCGAACAGTTAAGTGACTTGCCCCAGGGTCCATAAGGTAACTAGTCAGTGGTGGAGCTGGGATTTGAACATAGGCAGTCTGATTCCAGAGTGTGTGCTCTTGGCCACTGGCCAGTCCCACCTCTCATCACACTGCTCTTAGACTGACGTCAAACGATCAGTTGCCTTTCACATAAGCTGTCTCTTTGGGCGTAGCAGCTGCACGCTGGTGTTATAACGTGGGCATCGCAGAGCACGGGGCCGAGTGTGCTGCTCAGGACTTCTCAGCACCAATAGCAGACGTTGCTGTCCCTGACTTGGGGGTTCTCTGGCTGCAGCCACCCTTCCCTTGTAACAAGGGCTCCTCCGTCTCTGGCTGATGGGCTCCGTCATTCCTGGCACCCCCTGAGCCTCAGGATGCAGTTGGCATGGAGGCTGCCCAAAGGGGTAAGACACAGAGCACGTTACAGCACACGCTGCTGGGCGCCTGCTCTGGCTGAAACTCTCGTGTCTCATCAGGAGGAAACCTTCCCCAGGCAGCGCTGGGTGCAGAGAGGGTGGGAGATGCACAGCGCTGGCCGTGGTGCTGACTGCACCCGAGCGAGCCCTGAGGAGCAGCCAGCGGGCTGTACCCACAGGAGCAAGCTGAAGCCGCAGTTAGGTGTTTACACAGATTTGGCCTAGAAAAATGAGTGGAAACTTTCCTATAATTCCCAGACTTTCCTCTTTTGCCTCCTGGAAAATGCTAGTGATTCCCCTTCAAGAGCCTGGAGAGCCTTACTTTGGGCCCAGCTGTAAGACATGCCTGCCTGGAGAAGACATTCCCTGAGACATTGCCGAGGAGGGCAGTGTCTCTTTCAAGAAATCCAGAGATTTCTTCCACCCTCTGGAGAGTAGTGACTGGGGAGGGGGCTACCAGAGGAGCAGCCAGTTGCCCCAGACCTACGGAGCTGTGCTTGGCTGTGTGCCCGAGACGGAGAAGCGTGGGCATGCGGAAACAAACCTGGGGGAGCCCCCAACACTCTGCCACCCAGTTCAGGGGATCTGGGCCCAGCCGAAGGCTCTGCCAATAGAAGGCAAGTATGGCCCCAGGCAGCCCCGCTCTGCCCCCACGTGTGCCCCTCGTCCCCTGTCCCACTTTCCCAGATGTCTGAGGACAGTGGCAGGCGTTCCGTAGCAGGGGCTGAGGCCTGGCCTTCATATTAGAGCGAGGCTGTCAGTCTTCCTGCCGGACTCACCACTGAGATGTGACACCCGTTCTTCCCTCCGGGGTCCTGGTGTGTACCTCCTGACCCCTGCCTGTTCCCTCTGTTCCAGATGCATCCACGGGGTCCCGGCCCTGCCTGTGGAAGGCTTTGGATGTGTTCTGTGGCCTGGAGCCAAAGCCAGGCCCCAAACTGGCTCCAGAAGAGGCAGCCACGGAGAAGGTGAAGAAGCAGGGTGCCCTGTCTGAAGAGCCCAAGCTCGGCCACACATGGGAAGGGGCGAAGTGCCACGACACACTGGAATCCCCATTCTGGAGAAGAGTCACCAACGTCAGCGGGTTGCTCTTGATACTGGTCACAGTCCTGTGCCACATCCTCTACCACTGAAGCCACTGGGGCTCAGGGCCGTCTGGGAAGAGCAGGCAGACCACTGCCTCTTCCAGACTCACTCACCTTTGAGGGGAGGAAGTATTTCCCACCGGGAGACCCACGGTGTGGGACCAAGGACCACACTAGTGAAAACGCTCCCTCATTGTCCCTCACCAAGTGCCACCAGCTGCAGGGCAGGTGTGCTGAGGGGCAGAGTGAAGTCGTTCCGGTTGCAGAGACTATGCAAATGAGAACATCTGTTCCTTTACAGAATGAGTCATTTTCCCCAAACCACTCTACTGCATAAACACTGACTTTCACTTTAAATTGAATTTTGGCTTTTTATCTCTGGATGTACTGGGGATTTTCACTTGTGTTTACTGTCACCATTTCTTTGTTACCCGACCTTCATGTGCCGTGTCCCCTCCTCCTTTTTCAGTGTGTGCCCCTGCTGGCAAAGGTGCCATGTAGGGTAAGTTCCACCCCCATGCTGGGCTTCCTGCCCACAGGTGTTGGGCCCACCGACGGCCACACAGGCCAGCTGGAGCCAAATCCACCTGTGGACGGAAACATGGGCTCCTGTGGGCGAGGCGGTCTCTGCTTAGGGAACAGTCCCCACCCCCTCAGCACTGCCTGGCTGCTGCCCCACCAGCCTTGCCAAGCCCCTCCCAGGCCCTCCCAGTCTGCAAGCTATTGGGATGTTATTGGGGGTTGGGTCCAAGGATTAGTTTCCCCTTCACTGTCAAACACAGGCTACTCCTGGCCAGTGTTTCTACAGGTCCCCTTCCTAATTCTTTTTGGGCCAAAATAAATGATTTGCATCTTTAGGAAAAGTTTTGAGTGCCTTGAAGTAATTTGGGAAGACCCACCAACATCCCAAAAAATCACACTGCAGAGGCACACTAACGTGCCCAGCTCCTCATGCCTGATTTAATCCTTCGGCTGGGACTGTTGAGTAGCTATTATGTGCCAGACACTGCAAGGAACAGCTTTGAACAGAGCACATGGCCTATGAGGGAAAGAAAATGAAATACCAGCGGAGCTTAGGTTCCCAAAGCCGGCAAGGTCTGTGGGTCAGCCCCTCCCCACCTGAGTGACTGCCCACATTTTGACTGCTGTTTTCCTTCCTGCTGGGCCAAGGACATTACCACGTTCAAGCCACAGAACCACCCTTGTGGAAGGAGTCGAATTAACCACATTTCACAGGGGAGGAGACGGAGGCTCGGCAGGGGTTCTGATAAACACAGAGTGTGCCTGAGGCCTGAGCAGCCCTGTCTGACACTGAGCCGACTTGGGCCCTCCACGCACACACCATGGGCACTGCAGGAGTGCCCAGCAGGGAGCCCCACCTGGCCTCGGGGGTCAGGGAGAACCTCCTGTGACTGAAGAAGGAGGTCAGTTAGCTGGACAACAGATGGGACAACCCGTGGGAAGACACAAGGCAAGAGTTCCAGGCATGTTCGAGGCCGCCGAGACATGGCCTGTGCAGAGGAACAAACAGTGAGAGATGAGAGGACGAGGTGAGCAGGGGCCTGACCTGCAGGCTTATGTGCTTTGGATTCCTACGTCCTTGGGATTCTAAAGTCCCTCCCTCTGGAGAAGTTACTGGGTCAGAATTGCTGGCTGCTGCAGAAAGATGAAAAGGGGCCCTTCTGCAGGACACCCCGCAGAAGGCTGTTAGAGCATGGGAGCAAATTAGTGGCAGAAAAGTGAAAAGGGCATGGCATCAAGAGAAGCGTCCCTTAGAAGTAGCAGGACTTTGGTGACTGGACTTCTGGAGAGAAGGGCTGGGGGTGACTCTCTGGCCTGACCACACAGCAAGGCCTCCACCGAAGACCAGCCACACTGGAAAAAGAGCGGGTGTGGGGAAGGTCAAGCACTGTTTGGGACACACTGAGTTTGAGTTCCATGAAGATTCTAAAAAGACACCATCAAATGCCCATTTCTGCCTCTATTAAGATGATCGTGTGGTTTCTGTCCTTTATTCAGTTTATGTTACATTGATTCATTTCCTGGGATAAATCCCGGTTGGTCATGGTGCGTAATGCTTTTTTAAAAAAATGTGTCTGCATTTGATTTGCTAACATTTGGTTGAGTGTTGGTGTCTATATTCATAAAGGTACTAGTCCATAGTTTTCTTTTCCTATGAAGTCTTTGGCTTGGACATCAGGGTAGTATCAGCCTCACAGAATGAGTTGGGAAGTGTTTGGGGGAATAGTTTGTGAAAGATTGGTAATTCTTGCCTGGGGACACTGAAAGGTAGATGTTAAGTTGGATAGAAGGATCCAGAACCCATGAGAGAGGCTGAGGCTGGAGACCCAGATCTGGAGGGAAGAAGGCAGCAGGCAGGCCTAGCTACGAGGGGAACCCAGTAGAGGAGGCCCATGTCAGGCAGACGAGGCTATGTGAGAGAGCAGGAGGGGGTCTAGATGGCAGCACGAGAAACACCACTGGTCATGGAGGGAAAGAGGGCTCCCAAGAAAACCGGCTGGGCGCAGCCAGAGCCTCCGGCAGAGACAGCGGCCCACACCTGGGCCACTGCACGCAGCCTGGGGCCTCGGCAGCAGGGAGGCCGGAGCTCTCAGGTCAGAGCCGCTGGGTGAGGCAGTCGGGGTGGAGCCAGCCTGCTGGGGGCTGAGGTGAGATGGGGACCTGAGGAACTGGAGCCCCTGGAGCCCCCGTTTTCCTAAAGGAAAAAAGGTTTCCCCTTCATGGGACCCTTTTTGAGAAAGAGGTTCAACCTGACCCCAGCTGGGCCCAGCAGCTGGTCCTTTGCAGAACAAACACACTCTCTTGGGACTATTTGGGCTAACCCTCTAATTCCAGGGACACGGGCCTGTCTGGGTTTCTTCTAGGAGAGTGAAGGCCGCGGTCCCTGAAAGGACAGCCAGCCGGCGCTCACTGGGGAATTCTGGGTCTGCTGATAACGTTTTCCCTAGGAGAGGAGGCATGCCATGAGCCAGGGAGATTCTGTCCCACAGGAAAAATGGCTGCCGGGTGGGGATGTCATGAGCAAGACCTTGTTTGAAACACGGAGCCTCGAGAAGTTCATGGGCAAAGAGTAAGGCTCTAGCTCAGCCCAGACAAATGAGTCCAGCCCAAGTCCTGCAGCTTCTCCAGACGAGGTCAGAACTGGCTGGAGGCCAGTCATCCTGCCAGACCAGGCAGGGGTGCGGGGAGAGGTTATGGGGTCCCCATGTATACCTGGATCCCCCTCCCCCTGGCTCTTTGGCCTCCTCAGCCAATTTCTCCTTGGGGGAGGGGCAAGGCGGGTGGAGGCAAACCAGACCCAGGCCAGGATGACAGCAGGGGAGGGCAGGTGGGGGGGCGGCAGCCTCAGGCCTGCCTAGAGCTTACTCGGGTGACTTCCTGCCTTTAGAGGAGAATGCAACTATTTGGAAGGAAGACCTTAAGGAGCATCCCTGTCTGGACGGCTCATCCCTGGAAGGGCCTCTTACAACTCACCCTCCTCCAGCAACAGCACCCATGGGTGACACCTTTGACCTTCCCTCTTGCTACCCAGCGTGGGAAGGGAGCAGCCCCGGCTAAGCGGGGCTATGCCCATGCACACCCCAAAGGCTTGGTCGCTCCAGCATCTGGAGCTGCAGTGGTGCCTGGTCCAGCAGTTTTTCTCCTCAGCCCAGTCCCTTCTCCCACCTCTTGTCTTTGGAAGGCTCAGGCCTGTCCTCTGCCTTCTGAGAGGGCTCTGGGCCCCAGCAGGGAGCAGAACTGCCTCCCAGGGGCTCTGTCTTCAGCCTATGCTGCCTCACCTGGCCACCTGTGACCTGGTCCTTCTGGGCTGGGTGTTCTCCTTTGGCAGGGGAGAGAGAGAAATGTGACCATGTTCCGTGAACATCAAGAGATGTGCAGACCCAAGAGAAGGAAATCCGGCCCATTTATTCAGGCATGGACCTTACCAGGTCTGGCCTCAGAAGGGCTCAGGGTTTCCACTCAATGACTTTGATGGCCACCTGGGCCGCCCGCTGCACAGCCGCGCTGGGGTCCATCTCCAGGGCACGGAAGATGGGCACTTGGGCCTGCAGGAACTTGCGGCCCTCGGGGGCCTCCGCCAGCATGGTGAGGGCCTTGATGGCGTTCAGGCGGGCCTTTATCAGGCTTGAGCTCAGCAGGTTCAGGAGCGGGAGGATGGCTTCTGCATCCAGGGCCGCGTACTTCCCTGTGGATTACCAGCACCAGGCGTCCCCTGGGGGCCTCTGCCCTCCACCCCAGTGCTCGTCCCACCTCTGGCTTGCACAGCCTCAGGGAGGCACCGCCTGCCACCAAGCTCCCTCCTTCACCCCCATGCAGGCCCTTGCACCCCCTCTGCCTCCAGCCCAGGTCAGACCCCACCAACTCTGCCCCACCCCCACCTCCTAACTGGCTTCTCCACTTCTACCCGGTGCCCACTCCGAAAGCCGGTTCTCACGAGGCAACATGAGTGGGCTCTTAAAAATTGGTATCAAATTATCTACTCAAGTGGCAAACCTGTCTTGAGTACCTACTATGCACCAGACACAAAAGACACAAAGTGCTTGCCTTCGCAGCACTTGTAGTCTATGGGGGGCACAGACATTAATGTGGGAAGTAGACACCCCTCCTTAACCCTTCACTGCCTCATCCTACCCCCCACTCCACCTCACCTGCTAAAAGGTGTGGCTGTCCCCTGTCCCCAACCTTCCGGCCCTGAGTACTCCTGTCTTTGCCACTGGAACCTGCTCAGCCCCACCTTTGCCCTGCTGATTCCCACTGTCCCTTGGGTCAACATCCATGCCCCTCTCCCAGAAGGCTTTGCCCCTGTCCGGTACCCAGTACGAGTAGCACTTCTCCCCCATGTCATTCATCGATCCGTCCCTCCGACTAATTGTAGCACCAGTTGTAGCCGAGACCTCTGGGTCTCCATCACCCAGCATAGCTCTGGAGTGCCAGCTCCGGAAAGAGCGGCCCAACACCCCTAGGTTCGGCCAATGCCCAAGCACCCCAGGAGTCCTCTGGCCTCTAAGAGCGCCCATGGGAACCCTGGGTAGACCCCACACCTCTCTCCCTCTGGAGGGTCTCAGATTCCACCACAGAGGTCAAGGGGGGAGTGGCCAGGAGACCTCCACGCTGGGGTCTTGGCAGGGCGCTGGTTAAGAATCAGAGGCCCAGCAGTCCTCCGAGGAGCGGCAAGAAAGCCTGGGACGTGGGGCTGGTGCAGGCAAGGGAGGGCCACGGGGAGGGTCGGACAGCCTTTGGAGGTCACCGTGGGGGGATGGCCTGCCCTGGCCTCCGGGGGGGGGGAGAACCAGCCCGTGTCCCTTCTGCCAGCCCAGGGTTTAGTGACTGCGTACAGAAGCCTGAGTGGCGAGAAGTCCCAGGTTGAGGAGAGAATCTCATGTTCTGAGCACCACCCCTGGCTCCAATTGAGAAAGTGAATCAATCCAGAAATGCCATAGAAGTGAGGGGGCCAATGTTTGCTCGGGCCACAGGATAACCAAATCGCAAATGGCAAACTAATCAATGAGAAGCCTGGGACAGAGGCCCAGGGAGGAGCCTGGAGGGAAGGGCCAGTGATCCTGATGCGAGTGACCAAGTGACTGTGGCCAGGAAGAAGAGGGCGGGCGGAGCCCGGGACCCAAGTTTGAAAGGACTACAACAGCAGCCCGGATGTACTTCGGCAGGGCAGCGAGGGGGCGAGATGAGGCATTCTGGAAAGCTGGCCAGGGTGGCCAGTGTGGCCGCGGTGACCTTCTCCCCCCACACGTTAGCTCCAGTGCCCACACAGGGCACGCCTCCCACCTGGACACCTAACCCGCCGGCTGCCTCACCTTCAGTGGTCACCGTGGCGTACATGAGGGCCCCAGCCGCATTGGCCTGCACTTCCTCCACCGGGTCTTTCAGCAGGTGCACCAGGATGGGGATGACGTCATATTGACACACCTGTTTCTTGCCCTCCAGAGGGATGCTAGGCCAGAGAGGGGACGGCTATGTGGCTTTGCTTGTGGGTAGGAAGGGAGTAGAGCCCAGGACCCCCCGACAGGGAGACGGTACAGAAAAGAAATTGTGGTGGGGCCGTTCATGGTTGTCCAGGCCCACCGAGGCCCTGGGTCCCAGGGTCCAGGGGAACTCTGCTGTGAGTCCCATTTCTACGCCCAGAAAACTTGGGGGCATGGCCTGGGGCCACTGCAAGTGAAGCCACCCAGGAGCCAGTGGGTGATGGAGCTTTGTCCTAAGGTCTCATGGGAAGAAGGAACCAGACATAAAACAGGGAAAGTCTCCGTAAGAGTCCCAGCAGCCAGGACAGGCTGAGGCACACGCCGCAGCCACCTTCGAGCGAGATGACATTTTTGCTCACTGTTCATCCTGGCATTGTATGAAGCTGTGAAAATGGTGGACTTTCAAAGAGCTTCCCAAAGTGTGAGGGGGCCAACACTGTCCCCCAAAAGAGAATGGTTTCTTGAGCCCAGAAACACAGGCCCTACAGAAGAGTCACAGTGCACGTCTCTCCCTCAGTGAAGGACCCTGAGCTGCTTAGGTGAACCAGCCTTTCCCAAACTTTGCTGCCCACAGGACTTTTGTGTTGGCAACACCCTTAATAATATCTTAAAAGACCCGGGTGCCCTGAGTCCCAGTTGGGGAAGCAGAGGTTGGCCAGCCACTGGCTGACACTGTGAGGCCACTGAGCTGTTGGACCTGCCGAGGCAAAAACAGGTTTTCTTGCCTTGGTGCCCTCAGCACCCTGGACTCTGGCTGGAGCGGCAGGGGCAGGGCTTTGGGGGGATGCTGCCCTGCATATTGTGGGATGTGGAGCAGCACCCCGGGTCTCTAACCACTCTAGGCCAGGTGCTGCGTGTCTCCGGGGTGAGGGGAGTGGGGCAGCAAAGCCCCCCCGCTGCGACCCCCGGACCTGCTCCGAGGCCAGGGGCAGCTCGGTGGTTACCTTCCTTATTCCCAGCCCGGGGCTGACCACTCCCGCCCTCCCTACTCCGTCTGCACGGCCGGGCCTCACCTGACTGCAGTGAGCGTGGAGGCGGCTCTGGTGCGGATGTTGTCATTTTTACTGAGCAGCATCTCCTTCAGGAAGGGCACCGCGCGGCTGGCCAGCGCCTCATTGGCGTCCTCCAGCAGGCAGGCCGCCAGCGTGCCCAGGAGGATCTCCTGGACCTTTTCATGCTCTGTGTGCAGCTGCCACACCAGTGAGGGGATCAGGCCGCTGTTGACAATGCCCAGGGCCCCTGCAGGAAAGGAAATGGCACTGATGGTGGGCTTCCATGCCCCCCACCCATGTTGGGTGTCACGCAGGAGCAAGCAGGGAGAGTCCTGCGGGAGGCTGGACAAGACAACTTGCAAATGCCCCCACCACCAGGCAAGGGGACTGGGCACCCGCGGGAGGCTGTGGGTAACAAGTGGGGATGGATGGGTAACCACCAGAGGACCCGGGAAGGTGCCAGCCTGTGGCAGCCTGTGACTCGGGGGCATCAGCCCAAAAGAGGTGCTTAGCAGCCACCTCTTGGAGAGCACAGCCGCTCACCACTGGGGAACTAAGGCACACAAGGAGCCCCCGTCCCTTCCACTCCCTGCGCCACAGGGAAGCACTGGGTGGGGGACCAGCCACGCTCCTCCTTCCCACCTGCAACATCTCCAACCTGCTCCAGACCCTAGACCAGTCTGGCTGGCCCTCAGAGATAGGGGGAAGAGCTTGAAGTGGAGTCCGAGGGGAAAGATTCAGAGTGAACAGGCCAGCATCTTATCCACCAAAGAGCTGTGTCCCCAAACACAGGTGAAAGGAAATCCATAGATTCTGGTCAAGGGGTCTTGGAGGAGCCTGGTGCCCCAAGGGCAGGGCTCTCCATAGCATGGCTGGGGTGCCGGGGCCGGGAGGAGCACAGCGGGGTGAGCCTCCCTCACGCAGGGACTCCACCTCGCTCCTTCCAGCCTCAGTCCCTCCTGGGGGCAGGGGGGATGTCGGTGTGTGTCTGCCAGGAGGAGAACCCAGAACTGTCCCAGATGGCCCCCCTCAGGGCCCAGTTCCTGTGTGGGCCGAGCAGCACTCACGGGGAAGTGAGCAGGGCTCTGCCAGGGAGGGCAGCCGTACCCTATGGCATAAGGGCAGCCCTCACTACTGCCCTGAAGCCCACCCTTGTCCCCTGCCTGCCCATCAGCTCACACCATGGGCCCAGGGAGAAGCCACCTATGGGGGAGAAGCCACCCCACAGAGGTGGCCACTGGTAAACACCTTCCTTTTCCGCCCTCACCAGATAAACCCTCTAATTTACTCCAGAGAGACAAATAAACAGGTTAATTAGCCTAAAGGTCTCTGAGTGCCAATTAACACCAGGGATTTCCTCTTTGAAGACATCACCCCTGTCTTTCTACATCACTCTCAAAGGACATCAAATGGCAGCCCCCAGGGTGAGAGGGGCAAAGTGAGAGGGACGCAGAGGCCAGCGGCTCCCAGTCGCCCTGGCCAGCTTCTCACTGGGCCGATGCAGCAGCTCTTTGCTCTCAGGCCACTCACGACAGGAAAGGCAGTCTCCTGTTGCTCAAGAGTACTACTGGGTTTTTTAAGATAAAATACACATAGATTTCAAAAAAAGAAAAAGAAAAGAAAAAATGCTGGACTCCTCAATGTACCCAGCAAATTAACCTCTCTGAGCCTGGTTTCCTCATTACTGAAATGAGCCTACCTTGTAGAGAGAGCTGTGTCGTGCCAATGGGGTAGCGGTGGGAACGTGCTCTGTGTAAGGGACTGTCACTCTGTGCCCTGGACATCTGGGCCCAGCACAGCACAGAGTCTCCCAAATTCCACCAACACTGAGTCCCGGCCAGAAGCAAGAGTCGGTGGGGGGGTGCCGAGGGGTCAGGAGTGGAATACCAAGACAAAAGCCATACAGTCCCTGCCCCGCAGGAGTGCCTGCCAATGGTCCCCACCAGCCACCTTTCCTGCACACCGGAGCCTCACTCCCCCACAGCCCTCCCTTCCAGACGGACCTCTGCCAGGCACGCACCTGGGTCTCCTGCCCCTGCTCTGACTCCCAGTGCTCCCTACCTGCCCCAGACTTGGGTCCTTCTCAGCCACAACTCAGATGGCACCTCCCCAGCTCACAGTGGGAAGGTGACAATTTCCCTTTCCAAGAAGGATTTTGCTGGCTGATGGAGGGAGAGGGTTCCTGGCAAAGGGCAGCTGAGCAAAGGCCTGGAGGTGAGGAATTTGTGCATCATCCAGTCTGGGCTTAATTGTGGCCCCCTTTGCCCCGGGGTCTGACCTTCCAGGAACAGCCCAGGGAGAATCACAGCTGCGGGAGCCACAGGCTGGGGCAGGATGAGAGGCCGCTCACAGGGAGGGGGTCGAAGTCAGAAAGTTGAAGTGTTGGAAGTCACCGCCACTGCGCCACACCTTGATGGGGAAACGGAGCACCCAGAGGGGCAACTCTAGTGCCCAAGGCTGTGCGCACAGCGGCCAGCGCTGGGCCGGGCCCTCCAGTCCCCGGGTTTTGCTCCTCAGGTGTTTGACTTGGGCCTCTGCTCCTAGAAATGCTGGGCACCGGGACCCGGCTTCTTTTTGAGACAGGGAGAAGATTAAAAATAAAATGTGTGCCGGGTGTGCCTCTCTGCTCGTTCACTTTGCTTCTTTTCAGCTAAAAGGAGAGTCGCAGGCCTGGCTATTTATAACTAACCCAGATCTGCAATAGTTTGTTCCAGAGTGGATGTTGCGGGGGCTAGTGCACAGACCCCAAGAAGACAAACTAGAGAGACCCCCACCTGGCCCACCACAGCCCGGGAATTGGCCAGCATGGGCTGGGGGGACCGGACAGGCGGGGCGTAGAGCCTGGTCAGCCAGGAGGGAACCATCAGCAGAGGCCATAGACAATGAGACACCCTCTGCCCCGCCCTCGGGGAGTGGGAGAGTCAGCCAGGACCGGCCATTACAACACAGGTAGACACAGGTGTAGATGAGGAATTCCAGGGTCCTAGGGGCTCTTGATGTGCAGGAAGGAAGACCCACAGCAACTGGACCTCACAGGGCAGAGGGGGGAAGGCACCAACCACCAGTGTTTGGGAAGGGCCCTGCCTCAGAACAGCTGGTGTGCCAGGATGGATTCGGTGGCTGATGTGCCAGAAAGCTCCAGCAGGATGGAAGGTCACAATGTCCATAGCCTGGTCCCCCACTTCCACCGTGGTTTGGTCATTTCCTTGGGGAGGGGTTGACAACACCTCCAGGGGCTACTCCTCGGCCAGCTGTCCCAGCCGGACAGACTCAGTCACCAGGGCCCTAGTCCTCTTTCTACCACAGAGCCCCGGCTGTCGTCTCTGGTTCTGTTGTCCGGCCAGTGAGGACTCAGGATGGAGCGCTGGCCCCAGCCCTGAGGACTACACATGCATGCCTGGTGCAAAAAGCCACCACAACCCACAGTGGCCCACCTGTCCAGCTTTAGCCTGGTGTGACCCCCAAGCCCTGAACTCCCGGCACACTGACCCCCACCTGTGCCTGCCTTTGCTCACGGGGACGCTTCTCTGTTCTCAGCTCACACAGCCTTGCTCGCAATAGCACAGGGCACGGCTAACCACAGCTTCCTTCTCGAGACACTCCCTCCCCATGACTCTGGGACACGCCACTCCCTGGTTTCCTGGCCACCTCTCCAACTGCTTAGTAAAGGCCAACTCTTCCTCCAGCTTCCCATGGGGGCCCCCTCTTTGGGCCCCCTCCTCTCCCACCCTTCCAGAACCAGCGCCTTCTCTCCGTGGCTGCAGCCACCACACTGCCATCTCCTGGGACATGCTGTCTGTCGCCCAGTGACCCCTCAACCCTACCCTGAACTTGGCCTGCTGCGCTGACTTCTCTGCTTCATTCCCTCAGGCTGACTAGCTGCTGTGTTGTTATTGGATTCTGCATATTAGGACAACACACGCTCTGGGAACGTGCCTCTTGCCAACACAAAACAAAAAACTGCTTTCCTTCCTCTCCGATCCAAAAAGCTAACCCGGAAACTCCTGATCGTTGTTCCTCGCCCCCTCTCTCTCTCCTCTCCCCTCTCTCTAAAATCAAGAAGCATGCCCTTGGGCGAGGAATTAAAAACAAAAAAAAAACAAAAAAAAACCTCTCTGGTGGCACTTAGGCCCATGTCCCCAGTTCTACACCACTGCCATGCTCCTGCGGTAACTGTTCCCAGCCCAACAGAGCCTTGTGTTTTTGCACCCATGCGTGCTCACTGGCTCTGCCACATGGGTCTTCTCTGGGTTCTTCCAGCCTCGTGCCCCTTCATACCCAGTGCCCTCCTCACCTTGCCACATGTTTCTCTCCTGCCCCCAGCCACCAGCCACTCCCACTCCTGGCATCCCAGTGCCCAGTGCTTCCCCTGCCACATGCCCCCAGAGCCCTGGTGGGTCTCCCCGATCAAGCCTCGAACAACTGGTGGGTTACCTTCTGCTGACTGCCTGTGTCCCACAGACAGGAGGGTCTAGCAGGCAGGGCTGGATCTGTCTAAATCCTGGAACTGTGCCTAGTGAGGAGGCAGTCATCAGTAAGGACTGCTGTGTGAAGGGTTACAATCATTGGTTGATACCACGTGAACTCCCACTTTGAGGAGGCCACCAGGCCCCCTCAGGTGGGGGAAGCAGCAGCCAGCCCCCTTAGGCCCCTCGATGGGCTAGCCGCTGGCCTCACACCTGCACTGCTGTAGAGGGTCATCTCATGCCTGCTTCTAGGTTCGCCCCTGCAAGCAGCTCGACCCTGACCCCTGATCCTGCAACAGAGTGGACGTTCATCTTTGAACATGTGCCAATGTGCATTCTTCCTCAGAGTCACCTTCTAGGGACAGTCTATTGGTGTCCCCTTTTGAGAGAAAACTGAGGCTCAGCCAGATGAGTCACCCAAGGGTGCACAGGTAATAGCAGCGGAGCTGGGCCTGTGCTTCACCTACAGCCCCCTCTCCCCTCTAATCCATCCTAGGGCAGGGCCTGTGTCACTGTCTTCCTGGTGTCACAGCTGTTGGCCAGTGTGGTCCTCTGGGCAAAGGCCCAGCCTGACCCAGCCTGGTGCTATGGACGTGCGCACAGAGGAACCCTGGACTGCTGGCCACATTCCTTTGGCCCTCATTGGCCACCTCCAGCTAGCACTGTGCCAGGTCTCAGTTCACCTCTGAATGCTCATCATCAATCTCTTGTCCCGTCTCCACCAGCTTGGGCAGCCCCTTCATGGGCAGGTCATAACCCTGAGGGCAGGGAGTGCAATGGTCTCCATTTCACAGGAGAGGAACCACACCCGAGAGGGCCTGGGATGATGTTGACATGCCACTCCGTGTCCAGGTGGCAGAGCCAAAGCCCTGTCCCTGTCTTCTGACCCCAGACCTGGGCAGGGTCCAACACCCCATCTACCTCTGCCAATGGTCAGCACCAGTGCTTCTATGCCCATGAGTTGGGGTGCTCTTTGTAAGATGACTGTGACAGTATAGAGTGATAGGGCCCGCTTGGCTGGGAACTTCTGTATTTTACCAGGGATGCTCTAGGGTGTACAAAGCTGCAGGTTACAAGGATGGCGATGTCTTTTAACCATAGTAGTGAGGGGGCTCCTGGCTCTGAGGCCCACAGATGGGCTCCCGCTGAAATTTAAAACAGAATTTGGCAGACTGCCCTCGGATGCATTTTGCTGAGCATCCCAACCCTTCTTCGAGCTTCCTTCCCAAAGGCGTCAGTGGGACCCTAGCCTTTACTAGACTGGCTCCCTTTCATCTCTCTGGTCTAGGGGGACAGCTACCGGCGGGCCCTTCTCCCTTCACTCCCTCCCAACTCAATCTTCCGTGATCAGCCTCACCAGGGACCCTGAAAGGAGCAGGGAGGAGGGCAAAGGATGACGCTGCACAAACCAAACCGGTGTAAACCTTTAAGGTTTGCACAGCCCTTTCACACATTCTAGCGGACTGTCGCGTCAAGTCAGGGAAGTGAGTGCCACTAGCTCGACTTTACAAAATAGGCCCAAATAGGTCAGTCGGTTGCCCAAGGTCGAGGAGCTCAGAAAACGCCACGCTGAGTTTGATTTCAAACAGAAGGAGGCGAGTGGGGACAGGGGCCACCCACCGCTTGGTCTCCGGATCCGCGAGAGGCGGTTCCACTCGATCGGCTTCCCAAGCTCTGGATAGTGAGGTCCAGGGACTCCTGCACCCGTAGCGCGTGCCGGACTGCGAGAGCGCTGAGCTGCGGCCCCGCCCATGCCTGCCACCATTGGGCCTCGGACCCGTCCGTCAGCTACTTATACCCAATGGGCAGAGAGCCGGCGCTTATGGCGAGGAGGTGGCGCCCGGCGCGTGGTCACTGGCGGGCGCGCAGCTCCCCCGCCCGCAGTTGGCCTGGCAACGCGCTGCGCTCGCGGCTCCGCCCCCTGCCGGCGGCGGCAGCGCGGGGCGGGTGGACCCGCGGGCGGCGGGGGGCGCGGGAGAGCGGGCGGAGGGAACCAGGGCGGCCAGAGTGTGTGCGCCGCCCGCGGTCCGGTTACGTCCCCGCGCGGGCGCCGCCGCCCGCATAGTGCGGAACGAAGGTGCCGCGGCCCTTGTTTGCCACTCCGCCAGCCCGCACTGCCCGCGCCGCCCGGAGCAGCTCGGCGGATGCACGGTTCCTTGGCCAGGAGGTGAGTGAGTGGACCCCGCGGCCGGGGCGTGCAGCTGAGCCTCAGGGGGCCGGGGGCGCGGCCAGCGGGTCTACCCCACCCCCACCCGGGGCCCCGCCCGGGCCTTTGTGCTGAGGATCCGCCCGAGCTGAGGGTGCCGGGCTGGGCGAAAGGGATGCCCGGTCGGGGCGTGGGGCGACTAGGGTGGAGATGCCCGCGAGGTGTGCAGGGGGTGGCCGTGGGCCTGGCAGGTGCTGGGGAAGGGGCACCGCCGGGCCAAGGAGCCGGCTGAAGGTGGAGGCTGCGGACCCAGGATGGTAGACAGCAGCTGCTGGAGATGCCGCGCGGCGCCCCCGACCCAGCAGTCACCAGTGCAGAGCAGGGCCCCGCCAGGAGGCTTGCGGGAGCGGCGCCGAGGCAGGGTCTCCCTCTCCGGGGAGCGGAGAAGGGGCGACCGGGGTGGCGGGAGCGTCGACGCGTGGCCTTGGCTGAAACGGAGGAAAGGGCCCCGGAGGCCTGGGCCCGAGGACTGACGGCTCAGTTTTCGGTCACTGCTCTTGCAGTGAGCAGGTTGCTCCAAGGCATTTAGAGCAAGATGAGTATCGACCCACTGCGATTTTGATATGTTCCTGGCTCAATATTTTTTTCCTTAAAAGGCGGTGGGGGTGATCGAGGGGAGGGGTGTGAGGGCCTTAGGGCTGGGGCTCGCAATCATGCCGGAGATCCAGGGGGACTCTGCCTTCAGGGCGGTGCTGAGCCTCTGGGTGATGGCAAGAATCTGCCTAGGCCGAGAACTGGGATTCTTTCTGTCTTACAAGGATGGAAAGGCAGTGTGAGACCAGGGTTCCTTGGAGTCCGTATGTGAGAATGGAGGGACCTGCCTGGTAGGCGAAGTTGGCTGGGCTTGGGGAGGCAGCCCAGCCCCTGACTGGCTTTTTCTGCCCAAGTGATTTCCCTGCCCTGGGGACCAAGTCCCGCTGCCTTGGCTCTGTCTGGAGGTGGCTCCTTGGCCAAATTCGATTAAGCAAATATTTACTGAGCTTTTGTTCCCCCTGGGGTTGGAGCTGGGGTGGGAGTGGACTGGGCCTGCCCTCCAGGGACTGACTCACCACCCCACAGGGGGGCAATGTCTCTGTTCCGATAACCCAATCCTGAATGTGGGTGCGAAGTCTCAAGAGGGACCTCAGAGACATGGGACCTGAGACGTGACCCAGTCTAGGGTCAGACAGGCCCGTGGGCAAAGTGACATTTGAACTGGAGCTTGAAGAACACAGGCACGGTTGGGGAGGGCATTGCAAAGGGGAGAAAATGGACCCAGACACAGAGATGGAGCTCGGGCATTTGAAGGGGGAACTCAGGGCAGTTGGAGCTTGCGGCAGGAGTGAAGGGGGTGGTTGGCAAAGCATGGGAGGTGTGGCAGCAAAGGTGGGGGCGGGCAGAATAGGGGCCAAGGGGCCTGGGGGAAGAACCCCATTGCTTGTCAGCTGTGGCTCTTTCAGTGAAGGTTGCAGTCCGCCCATCTGTAAAGGGGAGCAGGTGTGTGACCCAGGCTGGGGCTGGTCTGGGAAAGAGCTTGAAAGGCTGGGGGGGGGGGGGGGCTCCTTGCAGCCTAGGATTGCCCTTCCAGGCACTTTATCCCTTGAGCCAGGCCAAGGAACTGTGTGACCAACCAGCTGGCCCCCTTCTTAGCCAGAGTGGAGGATGGTGTTTAGCTGTTGTCCCTTTGGGGTGTGGACGTCAGGAAGCAGTAACCGTGGAGGCCTGGGATTCTCCATGCAAGGGTTTAAGGGCGCAGGACGGCCCGGCCTCGCTCCTGCTTGGACAGAGGGGCATGCCTTCAGCCATGAGACACTGGCGCTTGGTTTCAAACTCCTCTTGTGCTTTCCTCTAACAGACCTTGGTTTTCTGAGACAGGGGGTGAATAAGACGTAGTCCCTCCCCCTCGGAAGGCCGAGTCACCTTCTGCCGGAGATCTGCTGGCTTGCTTGATGGCTTGCTTGCTCCCAGGGATGTTTTGCTCTCCCTCTGAAGAGGCTGTTTGTTACTCATCTGTGTTTCTTGATCCTCCTAGCCCCACCCCCAGACACACACCCACTTTCAGCTTTTGGGTGAGGCCCAGGTTGCTGCAGCAAGAGCAGGCAGCCCACCTGCCCTCATGGAGGTGCTTCACTCTGTGTCTGCTACCCACCCTGTTCTGGGGTCCTGCCGTGGACTCTAAATTTGGGACACAGGGAATAAATTCCTCCTTCCGTTTCAGTGCTCAGCTCTTCTGTTTCCTGGCGTCTGGGAGGAAAAGTGCCTTGGTCTGGATCTCAAGAGCTTCTAGGGCGATCCCAGGTTCTCTGGGTAACCAGGTAGACTTGGTAGGGCTGCCCAGGGCCCCTGCAGGAAGGCTGGGGGCACGGAGTGCTGGGTAGCAGAGAGGCTGGCCTCAGACTCAGGGCGTGGCCTCCGCGTGGTTGTCTTGTGTGTGCGTGCGCTGACAGTGCACTGGATCTTCCTCCCCTGGACGTGAGGATGAGCAGCCCTGCACTGCCCCGTTCCAGCCCTCGGGAGATCTCCACTGTGCAGCAAGGGGGCATTCTCACCGAGACTGGTCAGGGTGGGGCTCACAGGAACTCTGAAGGAGGAAGATTAGCACACTGCTCTCCCACAGCCCCCAGGAAGGAAACCTCTGAGGTGACCGAGTCCCCAGAGGCAGGCCTTCGAGCACCATGGGTGGCAGGAAGGAGGGCGAAGAGAACTGGACAGGCATTGAGGCAGATGCTGTATCAGCCCCAGGCAGGAGCATGAAGTAGCCTGACACAGCTTGTACAGACTGGAGAGGGGAGAGGGCAGGGCCCCAACTGAGGCACCAGAAGACCTGGATGAGGACCTGGTCATGCTCCCCCCTGGCCCAGCCCCGTTCTGTCCGAGCCACCTTGTCCTCATCCATAAATAGAGCCAAAAGTTCCTACACGGGTCCCCCCACCCTCACACCTGGCCCTTGTGAGCTCACAGGGACTGCCTGATGGATCCAGGAGCACACGGGTAGAGACATCAACCCTGCGTACGGAGCCAGAGAAAAACAGAACTTCACACGCTTGGTTCATGCAGTCGTTCCTTTGGCTAATATTTACCAGCACCTGCTGAGGGCTAGGCACTGTGCCAGGCACAGGGGTACTGCAGGGGACAGAGCAGACCCGTGTCCACTCTTGTGGTGCTTACATCAGACAGGGGGGTGACACAACAGCTGTGTAACTGAATGTCAGGTAGGGTAGGTGCCTCGGGAGGGAGGGCAGAGTCTCTGGTGGAGCCCATGCTGGCGCAGCGCAAGGGCAGAGCCAGGGCAGAGCCATGGGCGAGCCGAGTGGCTGACAGAGAAGAGCACCAGGAAGGGGACAGCAGGTATGGGTGCACCGAGGCTGGACAGTCCTGCTGGAGGCCCCAGCAGAAGTCCAAGTGGCAGGAGCTCAGCAGAGGGCTGTGCTGGGGGTGGGGTGCTATGGAGCATGTCAGGTGGGGCTCTGCAGGCCCCACTGCGGCTGGAGCCCAGGGCGGGTTTGGAACAGAAAGTTAATTACACTTTTGAAATACTTGTCTGGCTGATGGGCATGGGGGTCAGACCAGAAGGCTGTTAGGGGAGGTTGTGGCCCTGGTGGGGGGCTGCTGGCCCAGTGGGGTGGGAGCAGTAGAGGCAGTGAGAGGCAGTCTGCTGGAGAAGATGGGGCGAGAAGAGCTCTGGGAGGTCGGAGTTGGCATTGACTGAGAAGGAAGATGCGGACTCATCCGTGAGAGGCAGGGAACTAGGAGCTGGGTGAGAGCCCTGGTGGGATATGGGTGCACGTGGCAGTCAGGGGGAGAGCAAGTCTGGGGACAGAAACCTGGAGTCTTTGGCATCAAGTGTGTGGGAAGCCAGGGACCAGCTGAGGTCACTTGGGAATCAAGGGTAGGGGGGACCAGGAGAGCTGAGCCAGCCTCAGGGCCTCCCCCACCCAAAGCATGAGCTGAGAAGGTTATCCAGAAAAGGCCGAGAAGGACTGACAAGCGAGGGAGGCAAAAGCACAGTCCACTCAAGATGTGTGTGCTCCTGGGAGGGTGGGTCCCCTGCAGCAGACAGTGGTAGATCTGGGGGTACGTGGGGACTATGTAATGTGGGCTGGACAAGCTACGTAATTTGTAGGGCCCTTGTTCGAAATGATCGAGCATTTGAAGGCAGTGACAGCAGAGCATCACACCAGGTGTGAGGCCCTCTGTGACTGCCTGTGCTCATGCCTGAGAAGCCTGGTTGGTAGTGGCTGCAAGGACCGCACCGCCAGCCCATCCCCCTCTCTCCCGTTCATCTGCCTCCCTCAGTCAGGTGGGCTGTGTGTGGCACCTGAGGCCATCAGGGTGAGTCAGAGCCACCCTGCAGGCCTCACCCTGGCCTCCTAAGGTGGCTTCTTTCCCCTCTGTCTCTTGACCCCCTGTGGCCTCTGGCACGAGGCACAGCTCAAGAGTTGAGGGACATCGCGTCCCATCATCAGGACCCGGGCAAGCGCAGTGGGCAGCTTCGCACAGCAATGGCTTCCTTGAGTTCATCTCCTTTTCAAAGAAGCCTGCTTCATCACAGAGTTTTGAGTTATTTAGTTCTAAATTAAGGTATAACTCTCATTTAGAGACGTCCCTGGAGAATCCATCAAAAAGTGTTAAGAAGCGAGACTGAAAAATCACGGTGCGGGGAGGGGCCTCACGAACCCTGCCAGGCCCCGTGCTCCCTCCAGCAGCCTCCAGCCAGCAAGCAATCACCGTCGTCCCGAGGGCCTGGCCCAGCCGTGCAGGCGGCAGTCACAGCAGGCCTTTCAGGCGGAGACCCTGTGCTACTGACCACCCTGCCCCCACCTGGGAGGGAAAGCTGTTGGACAGGGTTCCCTGGGTGGGGTGGGGGCTGATGCCTTGGGAGGCCACGGTCTGTCGTGGAGGAGAGAGGACTGGATGTGCGCATTTTCCCCGGAGCCCAAATGCAAATCCAGGCCTTCGCAGGGAGCAGGAGAATCTGCTGC